TTTTATTATATAGGATAGAGGCCTGGTGCACGGGTGGGAGCTGGCTGGTTTGCCCTGAAGGGTGTCCTGGATCAGGGTGGGGGTCCTGCTGGGGTGCCTGGCCAGCCTGGGTGAGGGGCTGAGGGCTGTTTGCAGGCTGGTCACACCCCCTTCAGGGTGGGGGTCCCTACTGGGGTGCCTGGCCAGTCTGGGTGAGGGGCTGAGGGCCGTTTTCAGGCTGGCCAAGCCCCCCGGCAATGGAAGCTCCCAGTCTCTCCTTTTTTTCTTTTTTTTTTTTTTTTCTGGGATTTATTTACCTTCTATAATTGAAACTTTGTTGCCTTCAGTGGAGCTCAGAGCCCCAGGGCAGGCGGGAATCTTGGCTTCCTGCTCGCTCCAGCTCCGTGGCCACGGCCTGCTGAAAGCAGGTATCTGGGGTTTATTTATCTTTTATAATTGCAACTTTGTTGCCTTCAGTGGAGCTCAGAGCCGGCCGGGAAGCTTGTCTTCCTCCATCACTGGAGCAACCAAGCCTCCTGCTTGCTCCAGCTCCGTGGCTGCTGGCCGCCATCTTGGTTGGGTTAATTTGCATATAGATGCTCTAATTGGCTGATGGGCGTGGCTTAAGGCATAGCGAAGGTATGGTCAATTTGCATGTTTGTCTTTTATTAGATTAGATTGCCTCTGCCTGGGCAGACACTCATTTCCCAGATAGTTTTCTCCATTTAGGTCTCTACTCAGATATAAACACCTCAGAGAGGCCGTTGGTGAACATCTTATGTAAAGTATCCCAACCTCTTCCCCGTCCTTTCCCTTTTAGTCACTCTCTGGTCCCTTTCTCAGTTTTATATTCTTCATGGCATTTGTAATGATTTCCTGGCACTGCCTGTTTGCTTTGTCTCCTGTCTAGAATGTCAGCTTCCTGAGGGCAGGGACTGTCTCTCTCTCACCCAGTGTTTCCTCCCCAGTGCTTAGGTCAGTGCCTGAAATGCAGTAGTAACTTGGTGTATGTTTGTTAAATGATTTAGTTATTTGCTTTGAGGCTTTTCTTTTGAATACATTTCCCAGGTTTAGCTTATAGGATCCCCTTCAACTGGCCTTTCTATGACCATTTGACCTGTCTCATCATTTTTTGAGCATTTTCTTCTTGACAAGCAAGTAGTCCAGGCTCATATTGTACTTTCCTTGCCCTAACCTCCAGATAAGCTCTTTTCCAAAGAACTCTATTTTTTAGTGAATAATGTATTTAGAAGCCACAATCTGGATGCTAGGTATGTTCATTGGTATTTAGATATTTGTTCCTCAAGTAATAGAGCTAGGGTGTGTGTGTGTGTGTGTGTGTGTGTGTGTGTGTGCGCGCGCGCGCAGATATATTCCTCACTTACGCACAAGGGATATGTTCCAAAATTCCTGAAACCATGGAGAGTGCCAAACCCTATAAATTCTATGTCTTTTCCTAGATACACTTTTTCACTTAACCCATGTACTTTACGGCTTCTCTTCAGCATGTTGGAATTGCTAACATCACTAACCTGTGCTTTGGGGCCATTATTAAGTAAAATAAGGGTTACTTGAACCCAAGCACTGTGCTACAATGACAGTCGATCTGATTACTCAGGCAGCTACTAAGTGATTATTAACATGCAGGTAGCTCAGAGTATATTTAAAAAAAAAAAACAGGAGTTCATGCCAATAATTAATTCTGACCCAACTCCACAGGGTGCATTCTCTCTTTTCATTTTGGTAACTCCTTTTGCAATAGTGAGAAACCTAACTTTCACTATCCTTAATATATTTATTTAATTTTCTTATTTTATTTTTTTTACAGAGAACATTTTATTTTTTTGCTCTTCACCATTAATCCCCTCTATACCTTCAGCTATATTTATTTATTGATCAGACACCCTTTGTGTAACCAATCCTGCATCACCACCACCTAGATGCCTTCCCTGCATGGATGCCTTCTTCACCCTGCTTGGGCTCTGCCTCAGCATTGGGATATTTTAAAGCTCCCCAAACAATGCTAATGTGCAGCTAAAATAGAGTACAACTCAGTTAGAAAAAAGTGAACCCCACACTATGTGATCCTTTATTAAGTGAAGGGCAGGTTTTTAATTCAGGTTTGGTTTTAGAAAATAAATTCTTCCGAAGGAAGTGAAATTTAAAGAGAAGACTCAATTCTACCAGTATACACAGTGAAAGATCAGAGTGAAAGCACAGCCTGTCTCCTGGAAAGCTTTGTAAAATATTTGTTTTGGAAGTAAATCTGCTTGTAGTGAACATGAATTTCAATTCCTTTCCCTAAATTACCTGTTCATAGGAAAAAATACTTGAAAAGGTTAGTTGTTTTTTAAGAATGTATCTCATTAAAGACTTACCGCTTCTTTTACATTGCATTTTATAAATGAACTTTTAATTTTAGAGTAGATTTAGAAAAATGCAACTTAATACTTTTTAAAGCATCGTTTATTTAAGTAGGAGATATTCATGCTGTGTTTGCTCTTTCTCAGTAATCAGTTGCACTTTAAAATATGAAAACCAAGTTATAGTATCTGAGTCACAAGAAACCCCATCTTCTTCCACTCGCATCTAGAGGAAGCAAGAGGCTCTAGGAACCAAATATAACAGGATCTGTGGTCAGCCTGCCTTAGGTGGTCAACATCCATCTTGCCAGTTTTTGTAACTCCATTTTCTTAATGCATGGCTGCAAGTGGGTTTTCACCAAGAGCTCCACACTGAGATTGATGTACACATAATCTGACTCCAAAGAAATCCAGCTCTAAACCTAAGAAATTTCAATAAAATCTCTTTCATGATTGTAGTTTTAAAGTTTTCATGGAAGTTACCTGTAGAGTGTGAATTGTGCACATTAGGCTTTTGTATATTTATGATGTTATACAAGGAGAAAATGTGAATGTGGACAGAGCCACTGAAAACTTGACATCTAGGTAAAACATTTTTTTTCTGTTGTTGCTGTTTGATTTATGTAAGTACAGCATTAATTACATATTCATGAGAGCTCACTTGGGGTTGGTCCTCAGTTCCTTCTGTATGGGTAAAGTGATTTCCACTCCCCAAACTTGAGTCCTTCAGGAACCATCTTTGTGATTTTTGCCACATATGCAAACTTTTACCTTAACATTTCTCTTTAATTTATCTGACTTTTAGCTTTTTCCTAGATAATATCTGTGAAACCATGGATTTGATGTGTTGATCCCCTAAAATCACTAGTACTGTTTGGTACTTGGGGACCTGGGAACTACCGGTATATCTCCAACTTGCCTTCAAATTCTGAAATTCAATAAACAAGCATCTGGGGTCTCCTGACTTGAACTTTGAAGTTGCAACAGTGGTTGCTTATGCATTTTTCTCAGTTGACACATAATAGTAAAAGTTGGCATATCTATACTAATAATAGGGTAATACGCTAATTAGACCGGGTAAACCGGACATCTTCCAGTCATCCGGTCCTCCTTTTGGACAAATCCATGATGGCGGGGACTGAGGCAGAGGCAGTTAGGGGCTATCATGCCAGCAGGGGAGCAGTTAGAGGTGATCAGGCCAGCAGGGGAAAGCAGTTAGGGGTGATCAGGCCAGCAGGGTAGGGCAGTTAGAGGTGATCAGGCTGGCAGGCAGAGGCGGTTAGGAGCCAGCAGTCCCGGATTGCAAGAGTTGCAGGCCGGGCTGAAGGACACACACACCCCGCCCCCCATTCCTGTGCATGAATTTCGTGCACCGGGCCTCTAATATATATAAAATATTACATTAGAATACATGTTGGGTTATATTCTGTAATATATTAGAATAAATATTAAATTTTAAAGTTACTTTTCAAATATGAGGTATAAATTACATTATCTTAGTTTCTTAAGATTCATCACATTTCTTTAACTAGGATGTTTATTATTATGTATCATTTTTATTTTAATTGAGGAGAGCAAAACCTGATTGTCTTGTTTCAGGTGTGCCAGGAAGAGGCCCGGTGCACAAACTGTGAACTCACCCAATAAAAAGTACCTGATATATAGGACACTCAGCCTTAAAAACACAAGATATATGACATAGAGTATTATGTTAATCACTCTGAAAATGTTTTGGGAAACATCTAAATTATAAATACCTTTGTGCCATAATTGAATTAATATAGTCTATGTTATTTGTGAAGAATATTGCCAGAAGAAGCCAATTGGATATTGTCATATATTCACATCACGTTCCTTGATGAATGGAAATACATTAATCGTGTGTGTGTGTGTGTGTGTGTGTGTGTGTGTGTTCTTTTAGGAAGATCTCCAAAAAACTCACTTTAGTGGACTTCTTTGAAGCCAAACTTAATGTCATGTTTTGCAAAAGGGGCAACAAATCAAAATTAGGGATAACTAAATGTGGTTTTTGCATTCTCTCAGTTTAAATAAAATACAGTGTTCTACTCAGTCACAGAGATGAATTGTTGCATTACACACCATCTACAAGCAGATATTTAACTTTCTGGTCTGACATTACTTTAACAGAGAGAAGGAGCAAGAAAGGGAAGAACAGTTAATGGAAGACAAGAAAAGGAAGAAAGAGGATAAAAAGAAAAAAGAAGCCACTCAGAAGGTGGGTTTATTCAGTTAAGTCTAATAATACTTCAGCTGATTTTATTAAAACAGCAGTAAACAATACAGTAAACCTTCGATATAATGGGCTAATTTGGACAAGGGTGTGTCCACTAAAGTCAAAAGTCCGTTATATAATAAAGTTGGTTTTCTGAATGCGTATGTTAAAAATTTGACAAATTAGTTTACATGTTTTTACTTATGTAGACACATTTGTGTAATTAAAATTAAGTATGCATGAAAAGTTTAATTTCACAGAAAATTTTTCTATGTGTATTATAGTAATTTTAAATTTTTACTGAATAGGTCTAGTAATGCATGCATTCATTAGTCACCACAAATAAACAAATGCACACAGCTGAGGTGTGGCCTAGCACAGGTCTGAACATCAGCAGGCTCAAGTTAAACTGCTACAGAGGAAGCCAGCTTATCTCAGATGCCTAAGCCTGGACCAATCAACTGTGCCAGGAAACAAGTTAGAATAAGGCAGCTCTGAACGGCACATCTTGAATGAAGCTGCAGCAAAGGGAGGTATAGAGAGTTAGGGGTACTAGACACACAGTCCCGTGAGGGCCCATGATCTTTTCTTTTGTAGTTAATCTTTGATACTAGCTAAGTTGATATCACAACAAGAAATTGCAAAGCCTAATTCAAAGTTCTGGCCATTTTAATAAGCTGCTATGTAATCTGACTATTCAATACAGCCATTTGACAATTAAAACATACCAGATGAGCTCCAAAAACATCACCTCTGTGATGCCAAACTCAGTCTTCCTCCTCCTCTAGATTTGGTTTATAGAGTGAAGCTATGTCCTAAAGTTCTTTTTTTATACAGTGGGGCCTTGACTTAAAAGTTTAATTTATTCCGTGACGGAGCTCATGACTCAGATTACTCGTTTGTCAAATCAAAAAGTGAACGAGTGAGACACATGATGCTGGGCTGATGTTGTGGCGTTCACTGTGACGTTCGCTGCACCAACTAGCGGTGGGGTATCTGAAGCTGGCTCGTAACCCTAATTTTAGCTCGCAACTCAAAGCAAAAAATGGGCCGAGAGACGGCTTGTATCTCGAAAAACTCGTTAGTCGGGACACTTGTAAGTCAAGGCCCCACTGTAATTACAGTAGAGGCCTGGTGCACAAAAATTTGTGCACTCGGGGGGTGGGGGGTCCCTCAGCCCAGCCTGTGCCCTCTCGCAGTCTGGGACCCCTTGGGGGATGTCCACCTGCTGGCTTAGGCCCGATCCCAGGGGTGATCTGGACTAAGCTGGCAGACATCCCTCTGGCAGCCTGGGAGCCCTCAGGGTATGTCCACTTGCCAGCGGGGAGCAGGCCTAAGCTGCAATCGGACATCCTTAGCGCTGCTGAGGAGGCTGGTGAGGCTCCCGCCACCACCGCTGTGCTGGCAGCCGTCAGCCTGGCTTGTGGCTGAGCAGAGCTCCCCCTGTGGGAGCACACTGACCACCAGGGGTCATCTCTTGCATTGAGCGTCTGCCCCCTGGTGGTCAGTGTGTGTCATAGTGACCAGTCATTCCCAGTGGTTCTGCTGTTAGGGTCAATTTGCATATTACCCTTTTATTATATAGGATAGAGGTCTGGTGCACAGGTGGGGGTCGGCTGGTTTGCCCTGAAGGGTGTCCTGGATCAGGGTGGGGTCCTGCTGGGGTGCCTGGCCAGCCTGAGTGAGGGGCTGATGGCTGTTTGCAGGCTGGTCAAGCCCCCCAGTGGGGACCCTCACCCCATGGGGTTTTGGCCAGCTTGGGTGAGGGGCTGAGGGCTGTTTTCAGGCTGGCCACAGCCCCTTCATGGTGGGGGGCCTTACTGGGGTGCCTGGCCAGCCTGGGTGAGGGGCTGAGGGCCGTTTTCAGGCTGGCCACGGCCGTGGGCTGGAAGCAGGTATCTGGGATTTATCTTCTATAATTGAAACTTTGTAGCCTTGAGCGGAGCGTTAGGGCCAGCAGGGCAGGCAGGAAGCTTGGCTTCCTCCATTGCCGGGGGCAACCCAAACCTCCTGCTTGCTCTCAGCTCCGCTGCCGCCGCCATCTTAGTTGGGTTAATTTGCATATTTGCTCCTGATTGGCTTGTGGGCATGGCTTGTCGGTGTCGCGGAGGTACAGTCAATTTGCATGTTTCTCTTTTATTAGATTAAATTGTTCTCTCTGTTGAATTGAATGCTGGATTTTTATTATGTAATAAACTGGTATATTCTGGATTCATACATATTTTTTAATAAAAATGGCATTCACACTATTAAAAAAAACAAACTGCAGCAGAAAGTCACACCCCTTGACAATAAAACCAGTTACCATGCTCAAGATGTGGTGTGATCACATGCTAATCATTCGCCAGGCTTTGTTTAAAAGTTGTGACTCTTGATTTAAGTATGTAGACGATAGTTATAGATATGTAATATTTATGTCAGCAAAATTACTGTTATTTTTTCCAACATATGACCTATTCACTAAAATTTGTTAAAAATAACAGTGAATTAATAACAACAAATAACCTATTAATTATAAGCAAATCTTCGTTAAAATCATTTTGTAACTAACAGGTGTTGATTTTCACATGTGACATATGGACCGGAAGTTTTGTTCATTAAATCAAGTTCCACAAAATCAAGGGTTTACTATATTGAAAAAGGCAAGACATTTACTAACACTTAAATTCTTCTCATATTTCCTTATTTGTGTCATAATTAATCTCCATTTTCTTAAGCAAGCTTATACCATAGAATAGCTTCAAAGTTACCGCAGTTTGCTCTTCTTCTGGCCACCTCCAGCATTGTCATTTATATGATCCTACCTTTTGATAATCGCATAAAGAAACCTCCCTCCTAGAGGATCTGATGGGCCTGCTTAATTAGTGTTTTGGGGAAGAGAGCATTGCATAGCTTTGAGGGATTTGGGGGAAAGGAGATGTTAAAAGAATAAAAGGGCAAACAGCTGTCAACTGAAAAGTCTTAGTTGAAGTGTTTGTCTCATGGGGCTGTTGGAGTAGAGATGGTTTGAGCCCCTTGCCCGGCTCCCTTCATGGCAGAGCATGCCTGCCTGCCCTGGACATTGTCTGAGCTCATTTCCCTCACCTTGCCACTCCTTTAAGCATCACCTGGGCTTTGGCTTGGCAGGGTTGCTTTCTTCTATTCTTTTTTGGAGGCAAAATTGATTTTCCTCCTGTTCTTGTTACTACTATCTGAAGCACTTGGGAAGCGGGGGCTCCCCGTGAGAGGCAGGTTTAAGGGTCCCTGCTGTGGTCCCAGGTTATTGAAGATAAGTTTAGGGAGGTGAAAACTGCCAAAAGGTTCAGAGGGAGCTGTATATTTAGAACAAACTCAAGGCAAACACAGCCAATGCTATATAAGGTAAAAGGAACACTGCAGGTTTTCCCAGCATTGTTGGATATAGCGTTTCCCATCATTCACTTTTCTGAATTATTGAAATTAGTTCACTTATGAATGCCAGCAGTAAAACAATATTGGAAATATTTTCTGAATTGGAATGCCTATGATCTTGCCATATTAAACCTATGAAACGTATTTTATCTTTTCTTCATTAAAAGGAATATTGATTATTGTTTGGTGCCGTAATAGATTGCTGTGCTCTTTAAGATTTTGTCTGCTTTTCATTGTTTCTGTTTCTATTTATAGTGGTGTGCTTACCATCACATCTTCCTGCTATTAGGGTACCTGCTTCTAATGTGTTCCTTCTAACCTAAGCTTGTTAGAATTGTCTAAATTGATAGTAAAGAATTTGACTAAAGTTGTTAGATAATGACCCGGATGCTTTTTAAATACTTTCTTTTGGATGTGCAGCCACATTCCACAACATTGAGGTTGCAAATAAGCAGGTCCACCCACCCGCCATACAGTGTTAAGGGCATTGCCCATGCCCCACACATGCTGACCCTCCAACTGGAGTGATGGGAGAGTGAACCTCAGTGAAGGCTTCCTTTCCTTTAGGGCATTCGCATTTCATTTACTAACCTGGTATAAAAATTGTATTTTGCAGCTGTGGGAACGGATAGTTAATAGGCTGGACATTAGGGTACTTGAGCAAAGGCTGTGAACAAGAAGATGCCAACTAGAGCAGCTGACTAGGTTATGTGCAGTTCATTCTCATCCTTCTGTAGACAATAGTGTTCTCTTAACTTGAAAATGTCCGTATCTAGAAACAATTAATACAGAATGCATCTGTAAACTTTCATTGTGGATCCTATTAATGGAAAAATGATCAGAATTAAAGATGGTTTGGATTTATTCAAGAGTGAATTGGGGCCCTGGCCCGGTAGCTCAGTTGGCTAGAGCACTGTCCCAATACACCAAGGTTGCAGGTTCAGTCCCCTGGTCAAGGCACATACAAGATCAAGCAGTGAATACATAATAAGGGGGAAAGCAAAGCAGTGTTTCTCTCCTCTCTTCCCCCCCCCCCCCCCATCTCTCTATCTACCTATCTATCTCTCAAGTCAGTAAATTTACAAAAAATTTTAGAGTGAATTGGGATTATTTATGCAGAGAATGTAGTTTATTCAGCTGGATGGTCTGTCTATGTGTGCTTGCATCTGCATGAAAAATTGGTTAAGTTTTGGGAAAATCACCATAAGTAAAATTTCAAATGGTTAATTCGGAACAATAAAAATTCAGTCATTTTGTTCAAAAAATGTTCTAGATTGGCTGACATGGGATCTAGGCCAACACATGGCCTTTGATATTGTTTTATCATACTAAACTATTGTGAAATTTCAGAATGAAATTGTGATTTAGCAGTTTTAAGGAGAGACTGAAAAGCTTACCATGTGATTGTCTTAGTAGTTTTCAACTTTATTATAGAAACTAGAGGCCCAGCGCACGAAATTCATGCACAGGTAGGGTCCCCAGGCGTGGCTGGCGATCAGGGCCGATCTGCAGGGCGACTGGGAGGTCCCCACTGGCAACTACCTTGGCCGACCTGGGGCCTGTGGGCTGGGGGCAGCTCCTGCATTGAGCGTCTGTCCCCTGGTGGTCAGTGCATGTCATAGCGACCAGTCATTCTGCTGGTCATTCGATTTGCATATTAGGCTTTTATTATATAGGATGACACCTCAGCTGGGAGGCATAAAATGTGCTATGATGCAAAGAATTGTGTAGAACGTGCCAGAGGTTCTATTATGTAGTCCTTCAGTCAGTCAATCAGCAAACATTTGTGGTTCTTTTTAGCACTTCCACATCTTTTTTGCTGCCTAGCCCATTGCTTTATAATCACTTCTTTGCTTTTGTCTTCCCCATTAGACTGTAAGTTTCTCAAGATTTTATTCATATTTACATTTCCAGTAACTAGGATAGTGAGTGCCTGGTGCATAAGGGTCACTCAGAAAAATATTTGATAAATGAATAGTCAAGAATGAGTGCTGGCAACATAATTTTCTTGAAGAATTGACTTTTAAACCTAAATTAAATTATTTTGACACAGAAATTAAACATGACCGTTTCCCATTGTGTTCAATGTTTGTGGCAGTTTGTTCTTTCTAGAGCTATCCCTGAGTAAACTGTTAGATTTCCATTCATGAGAGAGGTGTCAAAGAAGGATTCCATTAACCTTCGGTAGGCTGATGCTGCTAAAGGATCATTGTTCAGTGTTGGCAGAACACATGCTTTGATCATCCAGCTTTTCACCATCTGGGGGACATCTCTTTTAACAGAACCCACATCATAAGACACATCTACATTATTTGGGCTTGTCGCTTACACTTGGGGAAGACATTGACTTTCTGTATAACTGATCTTCATAATGGCATTCTAAGAAATATTTACAACAGTATAAACCTTAAATTGCCGTAAGGAATTGGTATGTGGATACAGATCTGTTCATTCTTGGATAAATGGGGTTATACAAAAAGCATACAGTTGAATTGAGCTCTCTAACAATTAGTACTGGGAAACACTGTCTACCAGAAATTCAGTACCGTAGAATTAGCTTGTCTTTTAATGCAAGAATGTAAAAAATACTCCAGGAGGTCACACAAGTAGTTGAGATTCAATGTCTGACACTGGTGTGCTGGAATCTATTGTGAAATGGGCTGTTTCGCTACAGGACATAACCCTCCAAAGATGAGCATGTTTTTATGAACACCTATGGCAGTAATTTAGTATGATTAGTAGTCACAAATAATCAAATCTCTTCTACATGAATATTTTTATTGTGAAAGTCAGAGACACAATATAAAAATGCTTTGGAAGATTAACTCTTGGGAAAAGGGTTCAAAATTACCTATGATCTCAATAATGTAAGATTAACACAACTGGAATTCTGGAGCACTTTTTTTGAGTATTTTCTTTTGGATATTTTTTTATGCATGCCCGTTGGTGGTTTTGTTTTAGTATTATAGGGCATGTATAATTAGACACCCTTCTTTATTTTCCTGTCTTATTAGCAGGAACAGTTTTTCATATGCCTCCCAATCATAATTTTCCAAACTCTCTAATAGCCCATCATTATATTCAGCCTGTCCAACCTTTTAGGTTAATCACTTTCAAAGATATATCAGTGACTATATAAAAAAAAAATACTTTTAACAAAGGAACCTTTATTTGTTCAAAATTTACATATTTCACTCTTGCTGTATTTCATACTGATTTACATAAACTTTGATAAAAATAGCCAACATTTATTGAACGTTGGCATAGCATATCTGTTTAATCTTTACAACAACCTTTTGCAAGCAGATGCTGTTATTATCTCCAGTCAACAGATAAATAGAAAACTCAGATCGAACAGCCAGGAAGTAGCACAGCTTGATTCTGAATCCTGTTCTCCTACCATGCATGACCTCTGATGCCTTTGGTGATGGGCCTCGGAACTTTTGCTTTCTAGATTTGAGATCAAGTGTGTGAGTCCATACTCACAGGGGAATCTTTTCGTCCCTCTGGCGAATTTAGTTTCTGGGCCACATCCATGTGCTTTTCTTGAGTCATTAACAATCAAAATGGCAAACAGCATTCCTGGTTCAAGGACTTCATCATTTAATGAGAGTGGAATGCTTTTTGTTCTAACTTTTAGTGTCCTTCATAATGATGCCATGTAAGTTATGATGGCCACTGTTTTTAGAAGGGTGTCTGAACTGACTCGCAGCGTCTTTTTCTGGATTTTGAACTATGTCTGTGTATCTGGTAGCTGGAATTACTTGAGTTACTGGAATTAAAGTTGTCTTATAATATCAAATTAGAAAGCAAATCTCATTGACTTGTATCTCTTCATTTATTTTGCAGGTCACGGAACAAAAAACCAAAGGTAAATTGGGTTTTGTTTTTCCTTTTTAAGTCATTAGAATCTTTTGTGTTTAGATTTTACACCCTTGCTGACTTGAGCCTCCAATGCACTTGAAAAGTGAGAGTGGGTGTAGAGTAATTAAAGTTGGTTGTTTGAAGTCACTGAAGAGCAGTAGTGACAAATAAAAAGTACTTGTCATGGTGTTTGTAGTAGCCTTTGTAGTAGCCTTACGTTTTTTCAGGAAGTAAAAAAGTTTAGAAAAAGTGATACTTGTTTTGAAAGCATATGGGTCACGATTTTGAACTCAACTTTTTCAAAACTCTTCTTCCATCATTTTTTTTTTTAAGTGAAAATTCTGGAGAGAACAGGACAGGGATTTCTGTTGCAAGTTATATGAAGGCATGGACTAGAGTTGGTCCTCCTACCCAGGTAACAGATAATAAAAAGCACTTCAGGTAGAAGCTAATATCGCCCATTTTTGGATATTTAGAATTGAGTTTCTGGGATTGATGCAGTAGATTTAACAGGGGTGAAGGGTAAGGTTAGAAATTAAAAGATAGACTACTTAATGGAGGGATTTAGACATAGCAATTTAGCTTTGTTAAAAAACTATTCAGGTGATGGTTGTCTCGATGGGCATTATCTATGAAATGATTAGTTTATAAAAGCTAACCTGACCTTAGATGCATTAGTAAAAATATGGTATCTAGAAAGGGATGTTCAGTTCCCGTAATAGGCACCACATTATGGAAAGAACAGAGACAAACCTTTGTGGACGGTGTGGCATCTGGGCCAGATTGGTTAAGAAATGTGAACCTGTGTCACCTCTAGGAAAGTTAAACACCCAGGGATATATAACCCCCAGGGGAAGGCTTCCCACGGGGGGGAAGATCAGTAACTGTCTTCAAAGATTTAAGGGCTCCTCTGGTGCCTAACACTTAGCAGTTCCTTGGTAGATGTCTGCTGGATGTTTTGTTCATTTAGACCCATTCTTATCCCAAAAGTACCAATGATGAGTGAAAGCAACACAGAAAAGCTTCCAGCTCAATATAAATTTAAAAAATTTACATATTGTTGTCCAGAGCAGTAACTCATAATAACCTTTACCTTCTTGGGACATACCTGCAGGACAGCATCTTTCCATTAGTGTACCTGGGGTGATGGACCATTGCAGTGCATTGGTCACAACTCTGGTTTTTGAGCCTATTCTAGAAGGCATATTACAGTGAGTGCATGTTGGTGGTTGGGATAATTTTGAGTTTACTCTAATTTATTGATATTTGAGGTGGGGGTTTTCCCCAAGTAAGTAATTAACAAACTAAATTACTTGCAGTATCCTTCACACCTTGAAGAGACACCTGTGTGTTCTAACACTGTGGTAGGAGCTATTTCTTCAGGGATGGAACTGGCTTTCTCTAGGGAGTGAATGAATGTGAGGTATTATAAGACATGTGGCTCAGGTAGGTGGCCCAGATGAGAGGTAATGAGGATTTGAACCTGTTTAGGAGCAGTGGTGATAGAAAGATGCTTTGGTTCAGTAGAATATAATGGTGATTAGATAATGGACACCTTCCAGGTTTCTGACTTGAGCAGCTGGTTGGATAATGACTCCATTCCTTGAACCAGACGATAATGGGAGGGGAGCAGGGTATCAAGTTTGAGGGTGACAGGAAGGGTGGAAGAGTTCTGAGTTGGAGATAGTAATTTGGGAAAGATTTTTACATAGTGGTAGTTAAAGCCTAAGCTTGGGATTGTTTGTGGTCAAATAACTTAAATATGGGAAGGGTGCAGGCCTAACCTTCACATTAAGGTTTTTTTTAAACTTATGACCAAATTCAGCTGCCATCTTGCAACTCTTATTAAGGGTATAGTCAGAAGCAGGAGTTGCCAGCTGTGACCCTTGAGCCGAATCTGACTCACTGCCTGCCTGTTGATGTACAGCCCGTGAGCTAGGAATGTTTTGTACATTTTTAAATGGTTGGGAAGGAAATAAAAGAACAATTTTACAACAGTAAAAATGGTATGAAAATTGTATTTCAGTGTCATAAAGTTTTATTGGAACACAGCCACATTTACTCATTTTATACATTGTTTGTGGCTGCTTTTGTCTTAAAAGTACAGAAATGAATCGTCAGGACAAAGATCATATGGCTAGCAAAGTCTAAAATACTTGCTCTCTGGCCCTTTACAGAAAAAATTTACTGACCCCTGACCAAAGTATGAGAAACCACCCTGGCCAGTGTGGCCTTCGTTGCTTGGGTGTCATCCTGTGCACTGAAAGGTTGCTGGTTCGATTCCTGGTCAGGGCACATGCCCAGTTTTCGGGCTTGATCCCCAGTATAGGGGCGTGCAGGAGGCCGCAGATTGATGTTCCACTGTCACATTAATGTTTCTCTCTTCCTCTCCTTTCCTCTCTGTCTAAAACTCAATTTAAAAAAAAAAATCTTAAAAAAAAAAAAGTATAGCCGAACTGGTTTGGCTCAGTGGATAGAGCCTTGGCCTGCGGACTCAAGGGTCCCGGGTTCGATTCCGGTCAAGGGCATGTACCTTGGTTGCGGACACATCCCCACTGGGGGGCGTGCAGGAGGCAGCTGATCGATCTCTCTCATCGATGTTTCTAGCTCTCTATCCCTCTCCCTTCTTTTCTGTAAAAAATCAATAAAATACAAAAAAAAAATAGAGACAAACTTATTTAAAAAAAAATAAAAAATTCTTTAAAAAAAGTATGAAAAACCTGCAAAAAGGAAGAGAGAAAATCTGAAGAGTGAGCTGGAGTAAGTCTTACAGAAACAAAGAGGAAGGAAATAGCCAGTAATGTCAAGTTGAAGAAAAGGTCCAGTGAGTGCCCATTAGACCAGCTTGCACCAACCTTTCAGACCTCATGCACCACCAGTTGTCCATAGACCACCAGTTGGCAACCGCTGCATTAGACAGCAATGAAGGTCACTGTGATTTAATGAGGAGAGAAGCTCCTAGGGGAGATGTTAGGGCAAAAGCCAGTGTACATTGAGTTTGGGGAGTGAGTGGAAGGTAAAGAGATGGAGACAGTGCTTAGAGGTTACTGAAAATTGTTCAATGCGCATGGGCCACTCACAGTGTCATTAATCTTTGAGATTTTTTTTTGTACTACATTTTAACTGATTGTTCTTCACAAGAAATTTTCAGTCTAAAATAATGTCTTTTCTAGGGCTTGTTTGTATTTACTACTTTTAAACATTTTTTAGGTTTTTTATGTGGGTGTTTTTTTTTTATGTTTTAAATCCCTTTCAAGGTATTTAAAGAAAATAGTAATTTGTATTGGTTCTGCCTTTTTCAGAATATTCTTAATATTTTTATCTTTTAAAAAGTAGCATCTTATTGAAGTTTTCCAGAAATAGAGGCAATTAGAAGTTCAAACTGAGATGAGAATGGTATAAGATAATTAAGGCAACGGAAAGGGAAAAATATTCAGTCCTTAGAGTAAGTAAATGTTTTTGGGGAGTAAATGAATAATTTATGATCCATTCTATCTCTGATGTGATGGTGGGGAAATGCCCTGAGGTGCTTCAGCAGGGAATGTTGCACAATGTGTGGTACCCACTAGATTTCTTTGGTTGTTCTGTGAGTATTGTAAAGTTAGTTGAACTGGTGTTCAGACCTCAATGCAGTAGGCTGGTCTTAGTGTGTCTTATTCTATCTTAGGGGAATGAGTCAAGGCTGTAACAGACCTCGCTAACTTAAAGACTAGCCCTTTTGTAGAAGAGCAGCCTCATAGGAACCTAGCTCCTTCCATCCTAAAAACCACTTGGGAAGAATCCCCCCCAGCCTTTGCCTGCTTCTTGTGTATTCTCATGATGGGGGACGGGGATTGAGAATGCCATGTGGTATCGAATCTTCCAGGCACAGATAGAAAATGGATCATTAAATAATTCATCTTTATTCATCAGTTTATCATTTATTTACCCATTGGCTATTATAGCAGAGGGTGCTGTGTTAAAAATATTAGACAATGACCAGTTTATTTTCTTAGGTCATATGTTTATTCTGCTCGCCATGTTTATTCTGACCTACCTTCCTTACTGGGAGGCTCAGTATAGCCTCCTGATGGGCTCAGGTTAGACCCCAGGGTTGCTTTGACATTACTTCAGGCATCTGCTCCTTTCTCTATTACTCAGAGTACTCTCCAGTGTCCAATGGGTATAGATTGAGCCCCCTGATTTCTGATGATGTATCTCTCTCCTCATAAAGGAGCCAGTTCAACGAGTGACATGCTGGCCCAGCATCACTTCAGCAGTCAGAACGGTACTGCCACCAGAGCTGGCCCTAACATTACTCTGGATGTCAGGGATTTTGGCCTCAGAATCATCTGAATTATCAGGCTCAGTGATTGTTTCTGTATTACTGCCAGCCTCTATTTGCCAGGTAAATTTTCTTGGAAAGGGTGGCAGTCTTTTGGTAGGATGAAGCAAAGAAGGTACAGATCCAGAAGAACAGCCCCCATAGGGTTGAGCCGAGGGTCCTGCAGAGTATAGCTTGACAGTCACCCAGCACATCCCCACACTTCCTTTTGCCATTTTTTAAAGTGAGCGAAAACATTAAATTATTAAAGTCAATAGGGAAAGTATCTACATTTTGAAATTTTTATTGTAAATAAAGAGTTGGAAAAAACATACATGATACACTTAAAATGGGAGGAGGTGGGGCAAAAGCAAAATGATTATGACATTTCTAGTATTTACACACAGTGCCAAGCAAGAGTCTTTGAGTTCAGGTAGCTGTAGTAACTAACGAGTTGATTTTGTGATCCTCTAGATCAGCGGTTCTCAACCTGTGGGTCGCAACTCCTTTTGGGAGTCGAAGGACCCTTTCACAGGGGTCGCCTAAGACCATTGGAAAACACATATATAATTACATATTGTTTTTGTGATTAATCACTATGCTTTAATTATGTTCAATTTGTAACAATGAAAATACATCCTGCATATCAGATATTTACATTATGATTCATAACAGTAGCAAAATTACAGTTATGAAGTAGCAATGAAAATAATTTTATGGTTGGGGGTCACCACAACATGAAGAACTGTATTAAAGGGTCGCGGCATTAGGAAGGTTGAGAACCACTGCTCTAGATTGAGGTTCCCTGTGGCAGACCTTAAGAAAAAAGGATGAAAGATGTATTTCTGGCTTTGTGGGACTTAAGATGTGATGAGGAAGAAAGGCCTATAAAGGGAGAATTTCAAAATAATATGGAAAATTCAGTGGTAAAGAGAGATGGACGGCGTGTTCCAGGAGCACAAGTGAAGGGTGCTTAGCCTACCTAGTCCAGGGACTTTGAGAAAAGTTTCTCAGAGGTAGGTCTTTAAGAATGTGGATGACAGGAAGGGTCCCTTGGGCTAAAAGCCTTAAACCTTTACCAAAGACTTTGCCTGGGAACCATATGTACTGTACCCTCAGAGCTGCTGGGCAGCCCTTCAGGAAATTCCACTATTGCTTCCCTCTCCCTCTTAGTGGAATGGAATTGCATGATATTGGTGTCTTTGAATACTTGTCACCATCACGCCCACCTTCACCCTACCTTCAGTAAACTAAAGATGCTGGCAATTTGGAAAGACCATGTCCATAAGGAGTAGGATTATTGGATTGTCTTATTGTAATTGGTCCCACGTAAGCACTCTTAAAAATAATCTTTAAAAAAATGTATTTGATTTCAAAGATTGTTTCCCAATCTCTTTCAGTGCCCGAAGTGACGAAACCAAGTTTAAGCCAACCAACGGCCGCCAGCCCAATTGGCAGCTCTCCATCGCCACCAGTCAATGGTGGCAACAATGCCAAAAGGGTGGCAGTGCCGAACGGACAACCGCCAAGCGCCGCCCGCTACATGCCTCGGGAGGTGCCTCCGCGATTCCGTTGCCAGCAGGACCACAAAGTGTTACTAAAACGTGGGCAGCCCCCTCCACCATCCTGCATGCTCCTCGGGGGTGGGGCAGGGCCTCCTCCCTCCACAGCACCTGGAGCAAATCCAAACAACGCACAAGTGACGGGAACGCTGCTGCAGAGTGAGAGTGGGACTGCACCAGGTGAGGAATCGGTGTCACCGACCTGTATTCATGGCAGCTTTAGAGAGGGAGAGCACTTTTATTGCCTGATGTGAAGTCCACAAAAAACATTCATTATAAAGACTATTGGAGTTATTGAAAAGATGGGAAAGGATCCCAGTATGAAATGTACATCAGCATTTCTCTGCTGAAACTGGGTTTTAGTGTCCAGTGAGTGCGTGCTCTTGGCAGGAGAGGTTAATATAGCTGCTGTTTGTCATCGCTCTGGAGTCTTTCTTCCCTTCTCAGACAAGAGCGTTACAAATTTAAGCCTCCATTGTTCTATCTGTCACCACAAGTATGTGCTCCAAGTATGATTGGAAGTGGGCTAGTGCAAGGGGGTGTTCAGAAGCTTAGATGCTCATGTTTATGCTCCCAGAATGCTAGGCAGGTAGAAAGAATGGTCTCTTAGATTACTCTCTAGAATTTGGGGATTTTTAGATTTTTTTAAAGCAGTATTTCTTGGGGGGGTGGGCTTGATTTTGAACATTAATAAAAACTGTATGTAGATACAAGGATCTTTAGCTAAAGGGCTCTATTAGAAGTTTTGTGACTTTTTTTTTCTCCCCAGTGTGTGAATACTAAATTAATTAACAGCTAAGGACTTTCAAATATATATTTTTAGCTCGTTAATAGATTTCAACTTATCTCTTAAAATGTTTTTTTTTGAGATTGTATTAAAACTCAACTTGAGCACCATTAAGCATTGGCAAAGGCCCTGAATTGTGGTTGTTATTAGGATGCTTTATTCTAATCTAAGTTTGAGTATAGAATTGCCCAGAAAATTCTCTTACTGTCTCATGTGCAGAGTAAGGGTGGAAAGAAACCTAGGATGACATAGGCTTCATGCAGAGATAAGCCCTATGCATGAGTCTTTCCTGTGGTGACCATTAGGCCAGGCCCAAAGCCCTTGGAAGGCCTCCTGGCCCTTCCTTCTTGGCCCCTTATAACCAAATACAAGAGGAAGTATGTGAGGGGCAGTGTGTCTGGCATTGATTTCTGCAGCCCGGTCTAGCCAGGCCTTGATGTGGACACGGGTCCAGTGTGAGCCAGAATCTCTTATTTACATTTTTAAAACCAAGGAGGCCCCTAAATTTTAAGAATTTGAGATTCTGTGCTTCCTAATTTTATATGGCTTTATGTAATATTTTTTTCAACTTCATATTGATTTTAAGCTGCTTGGTTAAAGGAGTTAAATAAGTTTCGAAGAAATTATCAGGCTTAAAACATGTCATTTTCCCTCCACCAAATAAGGTAAATTCCACCAAAATATGTGCTAAACCAGACTAATTCATCAGATTAAGTTCCTTGGGCATACACACTGATTCATGCTTGTCTGCCCTTGGCATCCAGCTTGGTGGCATTTATTATTCAGGCAATGCTCACTGAGCAGCGATGGACTGGACACTGTAGAATTCAAATGTTAGCAAGATAGGGTCTAGCAAGAGACAAGATATAGGGTCTCTGCCTAAAAAGCACTAACATAGGGGAGGGAAGACATGAACACAGTGTTCTAGCACTGAGCAAAATGGCTCTAGACAGGAAAAGACTATTTTTGGTTGATGAGCTCATAAAAAACTTCAGTCAAAAATGTGGCACTTGAACTAGGCCCAGAAAAATGAGCAAATTTCAGTGTATGAATTTAGGAGGAAAAAACAGTAAGTGCTGATGCTAGTTGTGGAATGTCAAGTAGTATGGAATGTAGATGTCTACATAGAAATAGTGGAAGACGAGACTAGCAAAGTCACTGGGTCCCAGGTCATGGGGTATCTTGATCAAACTCCAGACCAAGGAGTTCAGCTTTATTCTTGTGCAATAAAGTGATGTGCCTTAGAAAAGTCCCTCCAGCCAGGAGTGTTTAGAGTAGGTTGGAGATGCAGAGCAAGCAGGGTGTTGTTGCATTGTCTCAATACAAGAAGGCCCTTCTCTGTCAGTAGGAATGGCAAAGGGATAGCTTTGAGAGATGGTGTGGAGTTAGATTTAGCAAGTACACCAACCAGGTAAGACGAAAGAGAAGATGACTAAAATAGGAGTGGTACAGTTCACTAAGACAGGCAACTGGATGGATAAGCTAGTTTGTGGGGAAATGTGACAAGTTCTCATGGGAGCGGTTTGAGCTTGAGATGTTAATAGAGCATGCATATGTATCTGTGATTGATAAGACAATCTCTTTCCCAGAGTCAACCCTTGGAGGTGCTGCTGCTTCAAATTATGCAAATTCCACTTGGGGCCCGGGAGCCTCCTCCAACAACGGCACCTCCCCCAACCCCATTCACATCTGGGACAAGGTGATTGTAGACGGGTCTGACATGGAAGAGTGGCCTTGTATTGCCAGCAAAGATACTGAGTCTTCTTCCGAAAACACCACCGATAACAACAGTGCCTCGAACCCTGGCTCTGAGAAGAGCACTCTGCCAGGAAGCACCACTAATAACAAAGGAAAAGGGAGCCAGTGCCAGTCTGCAAGTTCTGGGAACGAATGTAATCTTGGGGTCTGGAAATCTGACCCTAAGTCTAAATCTATTCAATCTTCCAACTCTATTGCAGAGAGCAACAATGGACTAGGAAATTGGAGGAATGTGAGTGGTCAAGATAGAATTGGACCTGGCTCTGGCTTCAGCAACTTTAACCCAAATAGCAACCCATCTGCCTGGCCAGCACTGGTTCAAGAAGGAAATTCTAGGAAAGGGGCATTGGAAACGGATACTAGTAATTCCAGTGCACAGGTTAGCACAGTAGGTCAGGCATCCAGGGAACAGCAGTCAAAGATGGAAAATGCGGGTGTTAATTTTGTTGTCTCTGGCAGAGAACAGGCTCAAATTCATAACACTGATGGACCAAAAAATGGAAACACTAACTCCTTGAACTTAAGTTCACCAAACCCCATGGAGAATAAGGGAATGCCCTTTGGAATGGGCTTGGGGAACGCCTCCAGGAGCACTGATGCCCCTTCACAAAGCACTGGAGATCGAAAGACTGGGAGTGTTGGATCTTGGGGTGCAGCTAGGGGGCCTTCTGGAACTGACACAGCCTCTGGACAAAGCAATTCTGGAAACAATGGGAACAATGGAAAAGAGAGAGAGGACTCCTGGAAAGGAGCTTCTGTTCAGAAGTCAACTGGGTCAAAAAGTGATTCTTGGGACAATAACAGGTCTACGGGTGGGTCCTGGAACTTTGGCCCTCAGGACTCTAATGACAGCAAATGGGGTGAAGGGAACAAAATGACATCTGGGGTCTCTCAGGGAGAATGGAAACAGCCGACTGGGTCTGATGAGTTGAAAATTGGAGAATGGAGTGGTCCAAACCAACCAAATTCTAGCACTGGAGCATGGGACAATCAAAAGGGCCACCCCCTCCCTGAAAACCAAGGCAATGCCCAGGCTCCCTGTTGGGGAAGATCTTCCAGCTCCACAGGAAGTGAAGTTGGAGGTCAAAGCACTGGAAGCAACCACAAAGCAGGAAGTAGTGACAGTCATAATTCTGGCCGTCGCTCATATAGGCCCACACATCCTGATTGTCAGGCTGTCTTGCAGACTCTTTTGAGCCGAACTGATTTGGACCCCAGGGTGCTCTCAAACACCGGCTGGGGCCAAACTCAAATTAAGCAGGACACGGTGTGGGATATTGAAGAGGTGCCAAGGCCTGAGGGGAAATCTGACAAAGGAACTGAGGGGTGGGAGAGCGCTGCCACACAGACCAAGAACTCAGGGGGCTGGGGAGATGCACCCAGCCAAAGCAATCAAATGAAGTCTGGATGGGGGGAGCTCTCAGCCTCTACAGAGTGGAAAGACCCCAAGAACACGGGAGGCTGGAATGACTATAAGAACAACAACTCTTCCAATTGGGGAGGGTGTCGACCAGATGAAAAGGCATCTTCCTCTTGGAATGAGAATTCCAGCAAGGATCAGGGGTGGGGAGGTGGGCGCCAGCCCAGTCAAGGATGGACTTGTGGAAAGAATGGTTGGGGAGAGGAAATTGATCAAGCAAAAAACAGCAATTGGGAAAGTTCTGCAAGTAAACCTGTGTCTGGGTGGGGCGAAGGAGGGCAGAATGAAATTGGAACTTGGGGGAATGGTGGGAATGCAAGCCTAGTTTCCAAAGGTGGGTGGGAAGATTGCAAAAGATCTCCAGCATGGACTGAGACAGGCAGACAGCCCAATTCCTGGAACAAACAGCACCAACAGCAGCCACAGCAGCCACCGCCACCACAACCAGAGGCTTCTGGTTCATGGGGAGGCCCACCCCCACCACCTCCAGGCAATGGACGACCTTCCAATTGCAACTGGAGCAGCGGGCCGCAGCCAGTAACCCCTAAGGATGAGGAACCCAGTGGTTGGGAAGAGCCATCCCCACAGTCAATTAGTAGAAAAATGGACATAGATGATGGCACTTCAGCATGGGGAGACCCCAACAGCTATAACTACAAGAATGTGAATCTGTGGGATAAGAATGCCCAAGGGGGCCCAGCACCTCGAGAACCAAATCTGCCTACCCCAATGACCGGTAAATCAGCATCAGGTAGGCAGCTGCTTTTCTTGCAGGTTTTAATGAAGAAGATAAATCATAAACCAAGGTATTTTTATTAAGCTGCATTTATTCAATTTGGCTGTGTTCTGGGAATCTTTCCTACATTAACAGAAGCTCTTTTTTTTTATAAAATGATAGTGATAACAGATGCTAGTAGTACATTTTAATGTTCTTTCTTGGCAAAAGAAAAAGATGGTATCCCTGGGTAGCCTCCCCAAATTATTCTTTTGCAGTTGTATTGGTCTGCAGAATCCTAAAGACATATTATCTTGCTAAACAAACTATGCCCTGGATTTAAAAATAAGGAATTAAAATTGTAGCAGAAATAGACCTGATTTCCATTCTGGTTCTGCACATGGCCACATCCTCTGTGTTCTCTTTCCCCGTTGAAGGGAAGTGTTGTGTGCTGTTCTTGCAGAGGCCATCATTATGCCGTAGCAAAGCTCGGATCCGGAGGGTTTGGTCACTTTCCAGGTGATTTTAACGATCACCTTTGAAAGGAGAGTACTTTGTATAAGAGGTTGTTATCTCATGATAATCACGTGTCCACCTTATTCGACTAGGAAATACTATACCTAGGATATGAAAAGTAGTGCTGGTAGTATCATTCTTAGTTTGGCATTGTCAACTTGAATGCCCCCATAAAGCATATAGTTCAACAAACTAGAGGGATGCACTATTCAACTGCTTTTTTCCTCCCACATTTGGTTTTTGTTTGTTTGTTTTTGTTTTCTTAGTTAGTATTAATCACAATATTCCATTTTCTACTCACTCCCCAAAGTGTTCAGTGAATTTAAGTATGGCCACTTAGAAAATGATTACTTTTAACTAGTTCTTTTTTATTTCAGATCTGAAAAAGAATGAGAAAGGAAATGCGGATTGTTCATTAATTCCTTGTCTAGAATAAAACCTGCTAATATATTAAAAAACAAAAACTTTATCCATATAGTCGGCCCTCAAGACCCACCGGTTCCCCCATTGACAGATTTTATCCAACCACAGATCAGAAATATTTGGGGGGTGGGGAAGATCTAGCATTACGTTGTTGTATATTATGTAGGCCTACAATGGTTGCGTCTGTACTGAACATGTACAAACTTCTTTTCTTGTCATTATCACCTAAACAATACAGTATAACTATTTACATAGTATTTACATTGTATTAGGTATTAAAACAAATCCAGAGATGATTTAAAGAATGATGGAGAATGTGTGTAGGTTACATGCAAATATTATTCCATTCTACATAAAGGACTAGTGCATCTGTGGATTTTGGTTCTGGAACCATCCTCCTCAGATACCAAGGAATGACTATAGTAAAAACCTTCAAACTATACAGAAAAGCAAAGGGTAATAAAAGAATCTTAGTCTCTAGGGCAGCGATTCTCAACCTGTGGGTCGCGACCCCTTTGGGAGTTGAACGACCCTTTCACAGGGGTTGCCTAAGACCATCGGAAAACACATATATAATTATATATTGTTTTTGTGATTAATGACTATGCTTTAATTATGTTCAATTTGTAACAATGAAAATACATCCTGCATATCAGATATTTACATTATGATTCATAACAGTAGCAAAATTACAGTTATGAAGTAGCAATGAAAATAATTTTATGGTTGGAGGTCACCACAACATGAGGAACTGTATTAAAGGGTTGCGGCATTAGGAAGGTTGAGAACCACTGCTCTAGGGTCTCTTCCCACAGGTAACCTCTTAGAATTTTGTGTCTCATTCAAACATTTTGTTCATACCTATAGCAAAATATGTCTAATCCTTTAAAAATTATACACAGAAGGTATTGCATTATGTACACTGTTCTTCACCTTGCTTTTATCATTATACTTTAAAACTTTCCATATTACCACATACATTTTTGTCTACTAATTGCTTTGTATATACTATTCATTTTATGGATGGCCCACGATTGGTGTAACCAGTGCCTTTTTGATAGATATTTGGGCTGCTTCCAAATGGTTTCCGACAGTGATGCAGTGGGCATTGTTGTACATGTAATTTCATCTACTTTCATAAGTTTAACTATGGTATAATTTTCTGACAGTGGAATTATTGGGCCAAAAGTGATAATGCCAAATGCCCTCCATGAACGCGGAACCCACTTGTATTTCTCAGAGTGCCTGTTCCCCACCAACCCACTGGATAGATGCTGTTTAACACATCATTCTTAGAGCCACATTTCCTGTCTTTACAGTCTGGAGCAAAAGCACACCACCTGCTCCAGATAATGGTACTTCAGCTTGGGGTGAGCCAAATGAAAGCAGTCCTGTGTGGGGCGAAATGGATGACACAGGAGCATCGACCACAGGCTGGGGGAATGCACCTTCCAACGCTCCAAATGCCATGAAACCTAGTAAGGACACAGTGTTATTTTTTAGGGATCCTCTGTTAATTTGGGGGGTCGGACATTTTGGGGAGGGCTGTTTTTTGGGGAGGGCTGTTTAGTGTTTAAACAGTTGTTGCAGTGAGATTCAGAACCTTGAATCTTTGCATGTGTTAAAATGCACACAGTGAACTAAAAGTCACAAGTTAATTTTGTTGATTTTGCATTAGGTTTAGTATCTGGACAGAATTGAAATGGTGATGTGGTGCCCTTTCTTTTCCTTGTTTCTTTCTTTCTTTCTTTTCCTTGTTTCTTTCTTTCTTTCTTTCTTTCTTTTTTTCTTGCCCAGTAACTGAAATACTGCTTTCCACATCTATTTTGCATTTCTACTCTTTTTAGTATAACTTAAAAAGAGTTTCCTGGCTTTTAATGTGGGATATAGTCTCTGCTGCCCAGTGACTTCATTCTTCTGTTCCTATTTTCCCTTTTTCTCTCATACAACATCCACCCACATAGAAACATTTAAGGTTTCTTGAACCTGACAAAGATTTCTTCATTTGAATTTTTTAAACAAAGCATGTCATACTTTGAAAATCTAAGCGATACTTGGTCCAGCTGGCAATATGTAGTCACAGTAATTTGCAAAACTTTGTAAACTGATGCTTTGGAATGTCCCAGTGGATGTTCCTCAATTGAAAAATTCAAATGCCCGTTTTCACTTGTTTGTAGTTTTCCTAAAAAGTATTCCAACATCTCTTTTCTCCATGTTGCAGACTTAAGGAATTGTCTTTTGATTTAAAAGTGTGGTCATCCTGAATGCTCAAAATTTGAACGAGAATGAAAAATTCCATTGTCAGGTTTACTGTATGATATTTAGGACTCGTATATGGCTATATGAAGGATTATGGTTTTAGGTACATTCTATATGTAATTTGACTTAATTAGGAATCTCTTCCACTTCATAAAAATAGCTTTATAAAGACTTTCATTTTCATTGTAAACTGATTGTATTGTCATGGGAGCTACCATTCTGTAGACTTGAAATACATCCAAAAAGCTGTTGAAAGACATTAAGGGACCCTTGGCACAAGGGGGTACTTCAGCAGTACTTTCAGGATTTTTATGTCTTCCCCAACCTCAGAATCACCTTTCTTTCATCAGAAACCCCTCACTTTTCTCCAGATTTAAAAAATGTTTTCTACTCTTTGGGAATATCTGTAGTCATAGCTATAGTTATACTTCCCCTTTCTCTGGGTAATTTGAATATGTACTACTCAGAGGAAGGAGCTTAGATCATCAAGGCTATTAATTGATGCTGGTCATTAACCTGTTATCATTGTTTCTAGACTACAAATATATATGACTAAAAATAAGTTCTCTTTTTTATCTTTTTCATAAGAAGACATTCGTTGAAAGTTCAGCTCCTTTCTCTGTAAGAAGGGTTGCATGGATGTCTTTGTTTTTATAAAGGGGTCAGTATGTTATTATATTGGGCTTTTAATTCCTATTGCTTGTCAGAGGATGGCATAAGGCCTATCCTATATATATAAAAGGCTAATATGCAAATCGACTGAACGGCAGAATGACCGGTCGCTATGATGCGCACTGACCACCAGAGGACAGACGCTCAATGCAGGAGCTGCCCCCGGGTGGTCAATGTGCTCCCACAGGGGAAGCGCTGCTCAGCCAGAAGCTGGGCTCACAGCTGGCGAGCACAGCAGCGGTGGTGGGAGCCTCTCCCGCCTCCGCAGCAGCGCTAAGGATGTCCAACTGCCAGCTTAGGACCGCTCCCCGACATCCCCCAAGGGGTCCCGAACTGCAAGAGGGCACAGGCCAGGCTGAGGAAACACACACACACACACACACACACACACACACACCATCCCCCACACCACCCCTCCTCCCTCGAATGCATGAATTTCATGCACTGGGCCTCTAGTGCTAACATAATAATGAAATATCTCTTGCAGAAGAAACCGTCCTGATTTTCAGTGGCATTTTTAGTAGCAGGGAAAATAGCCCCCAAGCCCTGCCTTCACTGTCCAGTCAGAAAGCCCTTCATGTAAGGCTGGATGAACCCCATGGAGGGTCCATCAGGTTCACTCAGGCCATGTGGGGGTGGGGGTGCTACAGTTAGAAGAAACCAACCACCTTGTGCCCTGTGTACATTATGGTGCCTTCATGACTGTCACAGGCCTAGTCCTAGGGGATGGCAACAGTCATTCAAGGAGTGAGCCACTTTTTTGGCTTTAGACTCTTCATATGCATCTATCTAAATCAAATAACTGCCCCTTCCATAAATGTTCTGTCACTGGTAAAGTGAAGGTATGGATGGAGGTTTGTAGGCAAGATAGTGAATTTTCCCTTCTTCCATCAATTTATAGAGACTCATTACCACAAAATGTATCCTTCAGTTCCATACAGTATTTTTAGAGGGAAGTAAAGGATTTATCCCAATCTCCAAATTAAAGATCTTTATTTAGAAGGGGATGTTGGTAGAGTATATCATGGATACTGACCTTCTACTTCCTCTAACATTAGAGCCCTCATCGCTGATTTCCCTCCCTCCCTCCCTTCCTCCTTCCTTCCTTCCTTTTCTTCCCTCCCTCCCTCTCTCCCTTCCTTCCATCCTTCCTCCTTCCTATCCTCCTTCCCCATTCTCTATCTTCCAATTTTCTCCACTTGTCTTTTAAAAGCCATTGCTTGCACATTGTCTTTGCCTAGGATCTTTATTAGTGTCTAACACATTTCAAGTATATATATTAATAAGTTACAAATTTTTATGGTTCTCTGTGAATTTCTCTTTCACCATAATATTGATATTCAAAGTCTTTTTTCTTCCCCTTTTCATGTTCTTTTCTTAACTTCACCCCAAACAAGGGAGACAGGTGTTCTTTATCATACCTCATATTTGAAATGTCCATTATCAGTCACACAATGTATTTTTAGGAGGTAAAACTACAGTAAACTGTGCTCATTAAGGGGAATAGAGATGTGAAGTTTCTTGTAAGTAGTGACGGGTTCTTTTCAAACTTGAATTTTCTAAAACTTTGTATAAGGGAACATCATTAAACCAGAAGCCAGGAGATCTTAATTCTGTGGTTTATTAACTTCGTATCATTAAACCTTTATGGGTTTCCATTTTCTGCTCTCTAAAATATAAACAATGTTTGCCTTGTCATATAGATATAGTAGATAAAATTACAGTATGTATTAGCAATGAATGATTTTTGTGGTTTTTGTTACATATATGCTGTATTTACAAGGAATGCTATATTTACAAGGAATGATTATTGTGTCATTTCATATAGCTATCACATACAGTTGATTCCTTCTTTTATTAAAGATTCCAAATCTATGCAAGACGGCTGGGGGGAGAGTGACGGGCCAGTGACAGGAACTCGCCATTCCAGCTGGGAAGAGGAGGAGGATGGAGGAGTCTGGAACACTGCCGGCTCTCAGGGAAGCGCTTCCTCCCACAACTCAGCGAGCTGGGGACAAGGAGGAAAGAAACAAATGAAGGTAGTCTGCTTTAGGAATACTTGAGCTTGCTTATTCATTCTTAGAAGGCAGAGCTGAGAATTTTTTAGTAGAAGTAGGGCAGCTGGAGTCCCTGAGGTCCTAAGTAAGAGAGAAAAATATTTTCTTGGGAACAAATAACTGCTTCCTCTTTACCCCTCATGTTCCTTCCCCACGACTTTGAAACCACGGACCACAGAACTGTTGCTATGGGTAAAATGGAATTTTCAAAGGTAGATTGTTTTTACTTTTAGTTTCTATATTATGATTATTCTTTGGAAGCTTTCAAGGCATATTCTATAAGTGTTTTATGCTATTGCGTTCTAAAGCCAAGGAAGTCCTTAGAGTAAATCCTCATGAATATGTATAGAAACCAAAGTAAGATAGCTTCTGCAGTGGCAATCAGCATAGCTGGTTTTTATCTAATTCAGGAAATTCCAAGGCCCAGAACCCTTCTCCCAACAGTGGCTTTAAATACATTACATTGTTGTGCTGCCATCACCACCTATCCACAAAACTCTTTCTATCTTGCAGAACAAACTCTCTATACCCATTAAACAGTAAGGACCGATTCTCCCCCCCCTCCATTGAGGGGTGTTGTTTTTTTTTTACCTTTAAACATGTACCTGAACTTAAGTACCTTATTACTTTCAAGAATAATAAATTGATAAGACAAATATCGGAACACAAACAGAATTTTTTAACTGTAGAATGTACAAGTGCACAAACCCCCATCGCATCACCCCTACCCCCAGCAAGTCCGTATCATAGTTCCACCTGCTTTCTCCATGGAAGTGAAAGTGGAGCTGGTGATTAGTGTCTTGTTCAGGGGAGAAACTAATTTGACCCATTAAAAAACAAACAAAAAATCATGTCTGCCTTATTTTGCAATAAGACGGTGATGGTGTCTTCTGCTAGACTTCTTTCCCATTGGGGACCCATGTCTTTAATACCGTGAGCAAACAGATGAACATACTACATGGATAACTTTTTCATTGTATCCACATAGAGAATAATGACCAGTTTAATATGGCTTCATGTACTAGCATCAAACATTTTTTTTCTGATACCAACTGGCTTGGATTACAAGGAGATACTAAAAGGGAAGGTACACACATGCAAACATTATAAAATCTGATATTGACTGTATAATTTTCCAGCTACTTTTAATTCAGTGTGACAGAAATAAAATAACAATGAAAACATAGATATATCTAAGCCTTATTACTCTTTTAGACTAATATATGAAATATGAAAATAAACATAATTAAAGAGGAATAATTAGGGTTCAAAAAGGTAAACTCGTGGTTCTGTACTTTCAGTCTGTACTTATGTAATTCAGATATGAAGTTGAAAAAATTATTTGATTTTGAGGTTACATATTTCATTTCTGTAGTGCGCACTAAAAGGAAACAATGATTCGTGGATGAATCCTATTGCCAAACAGTTTTCAAATATGGGATTGCTGGTAAGTTTTATTTTTTCCTATGTGTAATGTATCCCAACTTTTAATTTTATTTTATTTTATTTTTTTTTAAATATATATTTTATTGATTTTTTACAGAGAGGAAGGGAGAGAGAGATAGAGAGTTAGAAACATCGATGAGAGAGAAACATCGACCAGCTGCCTCCTGCACATCGCCTACGGGGGATGTGCCCGCAACCCAGGTACATGCCCTTGACCGGAATCGAACCTGGGACCTTTCAGTCCGCAGGCCGACGCTCTATCCACTGAGCCAAACCGGTTTCAGCTCAACTTTTAATTTTAGTACAAATTTTAAAATCATTGCCACATATAGTACAAAATTACAGATTTTGAAACTGGTTAAACAGTGTTCCTGGTTTGGATTAGATTTGTTTTCTGTTCTCTTATTCTTAATGAAATACTCCAATATTTAAAGGTTATGTGTATGTTTTTAAGTTGTAGTCCTTGTAATTTTTTTTCTTTTTGCAGGTAGGGAAAAAAGAGACCAACACTTAAAATTGATATAGTTTTCCCAACTACTGGATCAGTTTTAAAAGACAACAATAGCAAAATAACTAGAGAGATTATTTTTGATTAATTATGTAGGGAATTCTTGTAGAATTTCTAATTTCTTTTATCTCTTGGGAACATTATGGGGACACCCTGGCCCTGGTTGCCAAAAGACAAATAAATGACTTTGACTTGGCTGCACATTTCCAGATTTGATGACTTGACAAGTCACGAGAAGAAGTTGTCATCATTTGGCTGCCACTTATGAAATTTGATCCTGAGCTGACTTGAACTTGAGGACAGGGGTTTATTTCTACAAGCAGCTGTTTAGCTATTGCTCTGTCCATAGATTAACTGAAGCTAATTCTATGTGAAAATTGAATTTAGGAATATAGGCACCAGCAGCAATCAAAAGTATTTTTGTCTTTATTCTAAGTGTTACTGTCCTTGTGTAGTGCCAGTAGTAAAATGGGACTCTTACATGAATAATACCATTTCTTCTCTGATTCAAACACTTAATTCAAACCTTTAATTTTTCCCTCTTGTTCTGTACCTTTCAGAATCAAACTGAAGATAATCCAAGCAGCAAAATGGATTTGTCTGTAGGTGTGTATCACTCCACTAATATGAATGGAATATTTTTCTTAACGACATCCTGTTGGGATCCCCTGCTCAGTTTGAGTTGGGATGGCTGCAGTTCAGTAGACACGTATTGAACACTTACTCTGTGGAAGGTACTGTGCCAGACACTAGGTAGGGCTTAAAAATTCAGATGACTGCAAGAGCCAAGAAAGTAATGTAAATGAGTGGTGTGTGCCAAGTATAAGAAATCAGGACTTGGAGGCTACTGGTTAGCTGTGGAGAGTGGATGTACCACCTAAAGGAATCAGCCTTGCTCGGCTCTTAGCAGTTGTTGCCATGGAGGAGCTCAGACTCAGACAATAATACTTTTGCCAGATCTTCTGGTTTTTGAAGAGAGGCCAGAAGAAATTCAGATGTATATTGATATCCTGATTTTTAAATATTGGAAGCTAATTCCAGTTTTTAAAAATGCTGTGTGTGGCCAAACAAAATATGTCTGTGGCCCTGCCAGACTCAGCTCTCAGGTTGCCAGTCCTCTCTGCCCTGGGATGTTTCATCATTGACTGACTCTCCCCTTACAAGTGGAGCCGATGCAGGGTCAGCCCTTTGTCTGTGGATCTTCAGAAAGATGCTGCTGCTCACCCTGAGAAACTTAAAAAGAATCAAGCCAAGAAGAAAGCAAAACAGACCTGGATAATAGGGACATAGTCTTTGATCTGTGATATTTTAAATATGAGAATAACTAGGAATAAGCTTCTGGGGCACTGATCATGTCAGTGTACAATAGCAAATTTATAAAGCTGTGAAAGAAAAGTGGAAATAATCATTGCACCTGGGAAGTTACACGGCACAAGTAAAGTGGCACACCATCTCCTGTGTTCAAGTTCTAAATTTTAGAAGCAACAGTTATGCCTCTTTGATCTTTTTATTCCTAACTAGAGGCCCGATGCACGAAATTCATGCAAGAGTAGGCCTTCCTTTCCCCAGCTGCCGGCACCAGCTTCCCTCTGGCACCCGGGACCCGGGCTTCCCTCTGGCCACCAGCAGGCACCCGGGACCCAGACTTCTCTCCGGCCACCGGCAGGCACCCAGGACCCAGGACCTGGGCTTCCCTCTGGCCACTGGCTTTGTCCAAAGGATGTCCGGTCTAATTACATATTATGCTTTTATTGTTATAGATAACTGTGTTTCACAACCCCAATCATTTGTCTCTAACAGATGCTATTATAGCAGCAAGAAACAAATTCTGTCACTGAGGACATTTGAATGTATGAGCAAGACATACTCATCAAACATATCAATAGCCAGAATAAATTTTTTTAAGTAGATTTTTACCAAAAAAAAATCTGACTTAGCCCTAAGGTTGTCTTTCAGTCTTCCATAGAAAACAAACTACAACTGATACATTTTGGGTTTGTTTGTTTGTTTGTGTTGTTATTGTTCTTTTAATTAAACAAAAAGGACCCACGTGTTCCAGGGAGGATCACCAGCAGCCGGAACCATTGAGAGCTCTTTTGGTCTTACACCCAGCACCCCAGGGAGGAGAATGGGGCAGGTCACTCTTGGTCATGAGGGAGGCATTGATTCTTGAAATTTTTACTCTTTCTGTGGTACCTTTCAGGGAGCCTTACAGATAAAAAATTTGATGTGGACAAGCGAGCAATGAATCTCGGGGATTTTAATGATATCATGAGGAAGGATCGATCTGGGTTCCGTCCACCTAATTCCAAAGACATGGGAACCACAGATAGTGGGCCTTATTTTGAGAAGGTGAGTTGAATCCTTTATTTAAGATAATTTATGAGAACCACTTTGGTTTCTTTTTGTCTTTTGATAATTCCAGGAGGAAGCATAGAATTACTGAACTAAATTAATGAATAAAACATAAACATCATCTGATTTAAATGGTGACATGAAAACAGTTGATGTCAACTGGTGATTATGCAGGAGCTAGAACCATCAGTCTTTAGGTATCGATATGAGCATTGTGAAGAAGGTCTAAGTTTTAAAAAGTGTATGAAGTTTGGAGAAGAGAAATTGTCTAATTATACATAATGGGGGAAATGAAAACATGTAGAAGAAATTTTAGAGACATTCCTGAATTATTTTTTCTGCTACTTTTTGTGCAGTTGAAAATTAAATTTCAATATCTTATGCAAATAGTCTGTATCTCCGAAAGCCTTGCCTTCTAGCTGTCACGATGACCCAAAACTTTCTCCTTTGCTATTTCTAAGTGTTCTTTGCTGATCTTTTTTCATTTCTTTAGTGATCTATTTAGTTACAGTGGTGTAATTTCAAATTCTTAACTACCTGATTTAAACAAATCATGAATACCTATTTGCTTTGATTTTTAACATTTCTAATGGAGGAGCTTATTCCTGAATTCAGAATACCAGCTTGCAGTGTTCATGGTCTTCAGAAAGCAGTTAAAACCAACATTTTTAGATTTGGCACATTTTTGACACCTTGATGCTGGCCCAGACACCACAATATTCACAAGAAGATTTAATCTGGCTTCTATTTCTGCCGCTGCAAAGACTAATCAATATTAGATGCATAAAAATAAAGTGTCTGGCAATTTCTGTCTTAGTGCAATGGACAGAATGTGTTACTAACTTAGAGGATAAGAAAAATTTATATCCAAGAAGATGACAGATGGTGTCTGTTGGGCAAAGTGTGATGATTATATTATCAGATCCAAATTCTGTCCTTGTTTATTGCTAATACACTCTAACATTGTTTATTCCTAGTGTTTTCTCTCTTTTCCCTTCTTGCATTCTGTTGCTTCACTAACCAACCCTGGTGATTGGCTAACTACTACTTTTCAGCTGACTTTGCCTTTCTCCAATCAAGATGGGTGCCTTGGGGATGAGGCTCCCTGCTCTCCCTTCTCCCCTTCTCCCAGCTACAAGCTGTCTCCCTCTGGTTCCACACTACCCAACGTCAGCCTTGGAGCAATCGGCACAGGGCTCAACCCCCAAAACTTCGCTGCTAGACAAGTAAGGAGGCCTCTCAAATTTATAACTGCTTGACTGTGGCCTCGCCTTGGCCCTGGTCTGAAGTTTATTGCATCATTTGTCTGTCTTGGGAAATTTGTTGATTACTGAATGCACAGAATGATATTAAATATAGGCTTTAGATCTTTCAGCCCATAGAACCCATCTCTCTTCATGTTTCTCAACTTGGATTTTATTTTAAATCTGTTTCTTTTGTCTTCTCATCCCTTGCTCTCTAGTCAACTAATAAGTGCCTAAGGAAAATGTTAAAGAGGCTACATAGGTGACTTATATCATCTAATTTAGCAACATATTTGCCATTTTCAACATTAGATTAAATGTCAAGTACTAATACTTTTAAGGTATTTTCAATTTAATAAAACTGCTAATTGAGGGCTATCGCATCTTAAAATCTAATATCTTTAAAGTGTGAAATATAATAATTACCCAGAGAAAGTTAACTTTATTAGATAACTAAGCTTTGATAAGATGATGCTGCTCAGGCGTGGCAGTGTTTTCTTCAGCCTGGAGCAGCCCCTTTCCTAGGGTCTGATCTGTGAGTCTCTGGGGAAGGGCATGCCATAGAAACAAGACGGGCAAGGCTGGCAGGGTGATGTCCACTTGCTTTCGCAGGACTGAGGGGACGCAGCAGGCCTTTGTCTGTCACCCCGCAGGATCTCTGTTGCAGTTTCTGTTGAGAAAACCAGGAATTTGGAGACACTTCCTTTATGACAGTGACTCCACGATGATATTTTCCTAGTCGTAGTTCTGTGATTTTCACCTCAGGATGTCAGGAAAGGACATTGAATTTTTAGTTGCATTCATTTTATCTCCACATGACTTTTCACATATAAAGAATGCTATAAAACATCTCTTATACCATAGTCCTCACAATGCACATAGTTCTTTCATATGCTCTTTAGTTACTGCCTTAGCATATTTTAAAAAATGGATATTACATCCATGTGTTCATATTGGTTACAGCACATTTTTAATGGATTATACTATATCCATGTGTTCAGATTGGTTATCTCTAGATTGGGAGTTACAGGTAATTTTTTTTCCTTTATATTTCACTGTTTCTCTTAATGTTTCCACAGAGGATATGGATATGTACTACTAATATTAACATAGAAGAACAATTATATCAGTGTTTTGGGGGGGGCCCTTTTGTCTCCAGTCGAGGTATAGAAAATATAAAGTAGTCAAAACACTCTTTGTTAATTATAATTATGAACATGCTTCCAGGGTCACATGATAATCAAATGCTGTTATACATAAACATTAGTGTAACAGGCCAGCCAACCCAGCTGTGCCCTGGACTCTGTGAAAAGGTCATTCCTCGTTGTCCTGTTGATCTGTGGAATGCTGCAAAGTCCATCGTGAGCCAGGTCGATACACGCACTCTATCCAAATGTGGTCATGGTTTTTTCATGGTGTTTTTTAAAAACAGACTTAAAATGTGAGGTGTGTTTTTTTTCAAATCACATAAGATTTCAATGAGCTTGGTAACTCTTTTTAATGTATGTACCTTTGTATGTTAAACACTGTAGTTGTGGCAAATTTCACCAATACTTATGAGGACTCAGGTCATCATAAAAGCCTCACATATCACAGTAAAGTTTTAGAGAGCCAGATAAATTATCATTAACGTGTACATTTTAGTGACCATTTTCCTAATTTCTAAAAGACTCGGCCTGTATGATTGCCACTAAGTACATTGTTGTGCACAATAGCTACTTCTGGGCCAAGAAAATGACTACATTTCATATAAAAAAATACAGAAGAAAAAAATAGAGAAGGTATTTTTTTTGATAGAATACTGTTGACTTCTCTATCATAGTGACCACATCAGATACATCAAACTGCTTGGTGTAGCTTTAGAGACATTTGATAATGAAAACCTAAAATCTTTGGTGGAAGTGGGGTAGAATCTGTCTACTAGGCATAGGAAAGGAGGGCTTGATTTTATAAAAGCTAAAAATAGCAAGTTCCTTTATTTTTAATGTATTTTTATTGATTTCAGCGAGGAAGGGAGAGGGAGAGATAGAAATATCAATGATAAGAAAGAATCATTGATCGGCTGCCTCCTGCACACCCCTACTCTGGGGATCGAGCCCACAACCCGTGCATATGCCCTTGACCGGAATCGAACCCGGAACCATTCAGTCCGCAGGTCCGACACTCTATCCACTGAACCAAGCCAGCAAATTCCTTTTAATACTTCTTACCAAAGAGATTAAAATTAAAAATGATCCTCACAAAGCAGCTTTGGACTTGTTAAAACATGGAATATGGCAAGGACTTTAGCTACCAGAAACGCCACCATTCGAGGACCAGTCCATACGAATAATTAACATGTAATACAAGATTATTAGTTTGATAGTAAAGTGTCAGTGAGAACAGTCTTAGCAAAATATTCCTTAGACCAGCGATCGCCAACCTTTCGGACCTCACAGACCACCAGTGGTCCACGGACCATCAGTTGGCGACCACTGCTAGACCACTCGGCACCTTAGATCACTCAGCCATCCTGACCTTGCAGAATATTCTTAGCAAAATAAATGCTTCCTGTTTTTCTAGGAATGATTATTAGCTAAGCTGTTGACTACTATCATGGCCACAGAAAAGTTAGAGCTGAGTCATTTCACCTTAGGGTGACACTTTGATAGTAAGGCAGGAGAAAAAGAGAGATTCAAGTTTTTAGAATTAGTATTTTCTTGTTTAAACAGTTCTTTGGGAGATTTAAATTTTATGGTGAATCTTTGATTTTCTTTTTAGGTAGACAGATTTTTTATTGCCATTTCTACTTTATGTTCATAATCATTTTATTTTCAGTGCTTTCAAGTTTATTAATTTCCCTGCAGCATTCCCTTAATCTTTTTTAAATCATTAAGCCATTAAAATGTCTTTAGTATTCTATAACTTAATGCCATTACGAAATTTTTTAAAATACCTTATCCCCATGATTCCAGGGATAAGATGATGGTGGTTCCTTCGGTTCATTGTACACATGCTTGATATATGTGTATAGCTGTCTTCACTGACAGTGCTCAGTGGGCCGTCTTCAAGTAGACGAAATTGGTGGGTCATGGATGTTTGCAAATGATGTGCTCATCCTACAGACCAGGGCTTTATTGAGCTTTGGGAATACAAAGAAGGACATGTGGTGGGAAGACCAAATGGAAAATAACTAAAATGAAATTTGATGATGGACATTATCAGAGAGTTTTAAAGTGTTTTGAGAACATAGAGGTGGGCTTAGTTAATTTGAATGTGAAATGAGGAAGGTTTTGAGGAAAACTTTCTTAGGACAACCCCTGAGCTGGGCCTTGAAGAGGCCAAGTGAAGGTGGTGTAGAAAACTGCCTCAGTCAGAGGGAACACAGTATCAGGTATGGTGTGTGGTGTCTTTGCTGAAGGACTTTTCTCAAGAAGAAAGGGCCATACAGCCCCCCTTTCTGTAGCTTTTTGGAATAGTCTAAAAGTGCTCCAGTGAGTTGGTCCTCCAGAAACCAGGCAGTTATGTTTGTTTATTAACTACACTAATAGTCGTACATTTGAATGGGAAGTTACAGGTGAGTAATGTTCGTTTTGGTGTCCCTGTAAAGATTTTTCTCTTTTCCCCATTCTTTTCATCTCGCTCTGTGATTGATTCAGATCTCCTCATCTAGCAAAGAAGGGACCAAGCAGACCCAAGACAGGGAAGGGTATTCATATCTGGAGTAGGGTTCTCATAGAGCTGGGCTCATAACTGGTTGGCACTGACTTTATGATTGAACTAACCAGAGAGCTAATATCATGTGTTGTTTCACAGTAATATTATTCATAAGCCTGCATTTTTACTCAGTTGCCTTTCAAGATGGATCTCAGTTAATAAGGCTTGAGAATAAATATGGTAAACCCAATCTTAAAGAAAGTTGAAATAAATCTTATATGGCCTGTGCCTTTCAATACATACATACATAAATAAATAAATAAATAAATAAATAAGTGCCTTTTCTAACATTTGACTAAATTTAACCCTTTTGGTTTATAGAGTTAATCAGATTACAGGGGTGGTAATAATATGGCCATGATTGAATTTGAATAATATTCCTGAGCATTACAAGATCAGGACTTTTCAGGTATAAAATTCTGTGAGTCAATGGAAAATAAGATGCAATTCTTCTGAGGGATGGAAAATCTGGACTGTTTCTTATTTGCATTTTCTTATATTAACAAAAAGCCTTACTGTTGCATTATGTTTGCAGGGTGGCAATCATGGTTTGTTTGGAAATAGCACAGCACAATCGAGAGGTATGCACACACCAGTGCAGCCACTAAATTCTTCTCCTAGTCTCCGGGCGCAAGTGCCTCCCCAGTTTATTTCCCCCCAGGTAAGCAATTGTTTGTTTCCACAATTCATAAGTAAATCCCATTCAGGTGGTTGACTGGTTTTGTGGGCATAAAGGGAATAATAGTAGTCTTAAATTTGAAAAATCCAAATGCCAAAGATCAAGATTTTTAAAACAAAATATCAAATCTTACTTTTTTATTGTATTGTGCATACAAAGTAGATGTTTTTGCATGAAAAGCATTATGGTTATATTCCTTTACATCATATATTTTTCTAATACTGTATTGGTTTTTTAATTGTATATGATTAAAACTGCTTTATAAATTCTGTTGTGTCAGTATTCAGAAATTAGTTGCCCTCAAAGATTTACCCACAGATAAACCAGAAAATTGCCAGATTCTGATTTTTCTAAAAAGTTTTGAGGAGCTATCTGCTAAAATACAGACTAGGTACTCTGGGGGGAGTTTTAGAACCAAAGAAGTCGCAGAGACTTGTTCATGGAGCAGCTCTGTAAGACAGTCTCTGGGAACCGTGGGAACGTTTTAGGTCCATTTCTTAATAGGAGATATGGAATAAGTTTTTGGGGGGTACAGGTGAGAGATTTGTGCCAATCTACCACATACTGTCCCTCATACCTGTCAGGAGCAAGTAAAAGCTGATAAGCTTGTGTAAGGGTTCAGTGTGTGACCTTAGTCTCCCTAGAATGTTACTTTAATGAACTAAGTTAGAGCAAGAGCTTTGAGTCCCATCCTACAAAAGGGGGTGAGGCAATTACTAGATCCAGCAAACTGGTTGTAAAAGGTCGGATTTTGTTTAGTTTTTTGAAATGTCTTTTAAGACAAAAGCTTAAGATGTTTATTTGAAACCATATCTATAGATTTCAAATCCTGTTTTTGACATTAAGTCTGTATCTGTCTTAGTAGAGGAAGAAATGAGTGTCTCTCATTCCCTTTGTGCTCTCTACGTTCCAGTCATACTTCATGTCGCATATAGTGGTGTGTCCTCCAGACAGATCTGTTCCTGACTTCCCCAGTACTTGCAGTGGCAGTGTCTTAATCCTTGGAGCACTTTCTACTAGTATGCCTTAGTGTCGGATCAGCAGTCATTCATGGTTATTGAATATCTGCAGTGTGCTAGGTAGTGTGTTGACAATGCACATCTCTGCCTCCTGGAGTTGAAGGGTAGGCAGAAAGTGTGATAAATGTTGTATAGAAATGCTTAACAGAGTTTGGGGAGCTGGACAAGGCCTCACACTAGCAGTGACATTTAAGCTGGTTCTTGAAGCATGAGTCACAGTTTGCTGGGCACAGCCAGATTAATGGAGCTTTCTAGGCAGCAGAAGCAGCTTGTATAAAAGACAGTAATATCTGGAAGAAAATGGCACGTTCAGGGAAATGCATTTAATTTGAGTGATTAGTTTGAGCTTGTAGAAGCATATAGTTGCTGTCTAGAGTAGAATAGGAAGAAGCTAGTCAGGAAGTTTGGGACCAAATTTGGAAAAACTTTGCCTTGCTAAGGAGTTTGGACTTTGTCCTTTGGTCTGCATGGTTTATAACCATTATTTGGGCTATTACTTAAAAAATATTTGAGTTCCTAGGTCTCCCCCAGGATACTGAGACAGAATCTTGGGTATTGGAGCCTATTTACCCCCAGGTGATTTTGATGTGTACCCTAAAGTTTGGCTGCTACTGCTATAGATCAGATACTATAGGGCAAGATTTTTTTAGCTGAGTGACAGTGTAGGAAAATTTATGTTTTAGAAAGATAACACTGACAGTAACATAGAGGACATGCTTGAATAGCAGAATTATTAGAGCAAAGGAGATCAGTCACGAGGCTAGTCCAGGAGTTCAATGGCAGTGGGAATCCAGACCTTCTTGTGAAGGTCACCAAGGATCTTTGTGTTGTGGAATACAATGGTCTATTCTCTCGCTTCTTCTTACTAAGTGTATCAGCAGCATTTGACACTGTCGGTCACTCCCTCTTTTTTTTTTTAAACTGTTAAATTGTTTATTTTTATTATAATTTCTTATTTATCTCTTGTCTTATTTTCCAAAATAATAAATAGCAAGTAAACATTTACTCTCTGTCCAGTCACAATAAAAATTGCCTTTATTTCTCATTACCATCTTTGCTCACTCTTTAACAGAAATAATATTCTGTGCTCTAAATTTAATACAATGTCCTGATGTACCTCACCTGACATCAGGCATGAAATAAGTAGGTAGCAATAGCCAGAGATACTTTTCTCTGGGGAATATTCAGTGTTATTAAGGAAAGAAGGGCATAGCACTTTGTACTAAGGACTCAACCAAGTATGTTTTCTAGCAAAAAGGGGCTTAACTTAGGAAGCCATTTTTATTTGTATTTTAAATCATTTTTTATTTTTCAATTACAGTTGACATACAATATTATATTAGTTTTAGGTGTACACCCCAGTGATTAGACATTATATAACTTACTAAGTGATCATCCCAATAGATCTTGTGCCCATCTGACACCATACATAGTTATTAGAATATTATTGACTACTAGAGACCCGATGCACAAAATTCATGCAAGGGGCTTGGCCCCGCTGCCATGATGGCTGCTTTGGTCCCCACCCACTGCGGCAGCTGCCTCTGCCTCTGCCCCTGCTGCCGCCACAGCTTCGTCTAGAGGTCGTCAGGTTAATTAGCATATTATGCTTTTATTATTATAGATAGATATTCCCTATGCTGTACTTTACATTCCCATGACTGTTCTGTTACTTCCAGTTTGTATCGCTTATTCCCTTCACCCTTCACACCCAATTCCCTTTCCTCCCCCAAATCGTTTTCTGTATCTATAAGTCTGTTTCTGTTCTGCTTGTTCATTTGTTTTTTAGATTCGATTGTTGATAGATATGTACTTGTTGCCATTGTATTGTTTATACCTTTATCTTTTTTCTTCTTCCTACAGAAGACCCTTTAACATTTCATGTACTATTGGTTTGGTGGTAATGAACTTCTTTAGCTGTTTTGTGTGTGTGTTTTTGCGGGGGGGGGGGGGGGGGTTGCAAATCCCTTCTGTCCTGCAAAGTTTCTGTTGAAAAATCAACTGACAGTCTAATGGGAGCTCCCTTGTAGGTAACTAACTGCTTTTCTCTTGCTGCTTTTAAGATTCTCTCTTTGTCTTTAACCTATGTATTTTAATTATGATGTGTCTTGGTGTGGGCCTCTTTGGGTTCATCTTGTTCTAAGTTCATTTACTAAGTTCATTGAGCATCCTTATAACCAATGTTTTAAACTCTGCATCTAATACATTGCTTGTCTCTATTTTTATTTAGTTCTTTTTCTGGAGTTTTGTTCTGTTCTTCCTTTTGGGACATGTTTCTTTGTCTCCTCATTCTGGCAGCTTCCCTGTGTTTGTTTCTATGTATTCAGTAGAGCTGCTACACTTCCTGGGCTTGGTAAAGTGGCCTAATGTTGTAGGTGTCCTGTAGGGTCCAGTAGCACAGCCTCCCTGTCATCTGAGCTGAGCACTCCCAAGTTCTCCCCCCTACCCCCCACCGTGTGGGCTTTGTACACCCTCCTATTGTAGTTGAGCCTTGATTGCTGTTGGCACATCAATGGGATCATCTGTGCAAGAGCCCACCCCACAGAGCAGGACTTACTTCAGCGGGGCTCTGGTGCCTGCTGAGTTCACCCCTTGAGTGTCGCTGTGGAGGTGGTTGGGTGGTGGTGCTTCATCATGTTCTGAAGCTTTTCCCCAGATACTATGGATCTGGGGCCTCCCAGAAGGTATAAGCCAAGGTTATCCACCACCTATATTCTGCCAGGGCTGCCTGGCATGAGCTACAAAGTGATCTGCAGATGGCTGCTACCTGTGCTGGACTTGGAGGTACCCAGTAAAGGCCAAGCTGCAAACCAAGGCTTGCTGCCCTAGTGCCAGGCTTGGGGCCACTTAAGAGGTATGGGGCACGCTAAAGTGAGATGCTGCTTGTTTGAGAGATTTTAGGAAAGTCTGAAGCATGAGCCAAGACAGGCCATTCAAATGCAAAAGCCACTGGAAATAGCTTGGATGGGCCCAGCAAATTGGTGGGGTGGCATCTCAGGGAATCACCAGGGCAGAGAAAACAGTGTTAGCCAGGTTGAAGGAGGCTCAGATATGGCACCTACCTACTGGCTCTTTGGGGGAAGGGCTTGGAAAGAGAACAGTGGCCTCTGCCAGCATTTCTGTCTGGGAGAAAGCTGCCTTACCAGCCCTCTCCTAATACCAGACACTTCATTTCCTCCCCGTATATTCCTGGTGCCTTCCAAGTTGCTGCCCCAGTGCTGGAACTCAGAGCACTCCTTCCTTTTTTGAAACACTTAATTCTTTGGCTTTCAGACTCCTTCTATATTGGTTCTCCAGCTACCTCTTCTCCATCTCCTTTATAAGTTTCTTCTAACTCTTTAACCTTTAAATATCAGAGTGCCCCTTTCTCAAACTTCAAACCTCCTTTCCCCATCTACAGTGACTTCTAGGTGATCTCACCCAGTGGAATGGCTTGAAATACTTAGAATTCCAAAATTGTGTCTTCAGCCTAGATCGCTCTTCTTAACTCCACAGACTTCTGGGGATCTCTACTAGGATGCCTTTGGCATCTCAGATTAACATGTCCAAAACAGAGCTGACTTCATCCTACACTCCCCTCAAAAACATTCTCTTCCTCCAAGTAAATGGCACTCTCATTCTGCAAGTGTTCAGGTCACAGACCTGAGATCTAATTGTGCATCTTCTCACAGTCCATATCCAGTCTGTCAACAAATCATTCCTTCACAACTATATCCAGAATCTGACCATTTCTTACCACTTCCTCTAATATGACCCATGGCCAAGCCACTGCCATTTCTCTCCTAGAAATGGCCTCCTGACTTCTAAAACTGTGCTATGTGATGCAGCCATTAGCCACCTGAGCACTTGAAATGTGACTGAATGCAAGAACTAAATTTTTAATTTTAATTAATTTAAATAGCCACAACTAGTATATGAACAGTACAGATAAAAACATTTATATCAATGTAGAAAGTTAAGGTAAATCAAGTTACTACTTTACTGGGTATCAATCCTCTTATCACTCTCTCTCACTGAGAACACAAAGCCAACTCTTAACTGGGGTCTTTGAGGCTCTTGGTGGTATCCCCACCTCTACCTGCCACTCTCCCATTTGTTCAGGCCTCTCCTGCCAACAGGCCCCAGCACACTGAGCGTGTTCCTGGATCGATCTCCCAGATTGCCACGTGACTTCATCTTTATTTCCTTTGGCTCTACGCTCCAATGCCCCCTTATCAGAGAGGCTTTGTACAGTACACCACCACCCACTGTTCCTCTCCCTCCTCTGAGCATGGATTTTGAGCTCAGTAAATTTATGTCAAATCATGGGAAGATGCATTTCTAAATGATTTAGAAAATGGAATTGTTAGGAAAGCACAGTTAAATTCATCTAAGAGACTTAGATAAGGCTGCAAATTTCGTTATGACCAAAGTATCTGTTCTACTTGGAAAATAAAAATACTTGTGTTCTCCTACATTTTTGAAATTTGTTTATTTAGCAAAATGTGATTAACATAGGGGCAGTCAGTATTTAATGTACACATAGAAAGAAGACATTGAAACTAATCTTTAAGATTTGTTACTACAAATGTTCCCAGCCTTGGGTTTTTCTACCTTACTCAAATATTCAGAAAGTAACATATTCTAGCAAGCTTTTGTCTTGCTTTTAAATTGCTGTCATTTTGTACCTGCAGTGCTTCGTTAACTGCCATATTGGCTCCAACTAGATCTTCACTTTCTCCAACCCAGCTGGAAATTGATGGCTTTTAAGCCCGAGTAATTAACTCCCTGCTATGGGAATGTGCAAACCTGCACTTTAATTACTCTGCAACCCAGGTACAAATAGCCATTTGCCAGGAGCTAGTCATGCTTCTCTCTGGTCCTTCTGTATCATCAGAGAAGGACTATACATGTGCAATCTGAAGAAGGGAAAGGTTGAGCAAAGCTAGATAGGAAATCCTCAAAGTGTAACTGTTATAGTCCTTGTAACTGTCAACTTGTGAAACCTATGAGATGCTGGCATTTAAATTAAATTATAAAATGATCTTGTGTTAGTGTTTCTTTACTTTGTAGTCTTTGTGCATGTCCACCCTTAAACAATCTATTGTTTCATTTTGCCTTTTTTGCACTTTATGTAATGAAGCCATACAGTATATAGCTTTCTCTATTTTACTTGGCAATGTTTCTGAGATTTTCCCATGTTGATTTGGGCAGTTGCAGTTCATATAGTATTTCATTGCATGAATACACCATCACATATTTACCAATTCTACTACCAGTAGATATTTGGGCTGTTTCCAGATTTTTGCTATTGTGGGCAGTGCTGTTATGGATATTCTTACATTTCTCTCCTAGGATGAATTTCTCTAGGTTACTGCTATGTAACATAGGCATGTTTTTTTGGAATGGTAGTTTCTTTTGCTAATTTTGAGTATTAGGAATAGTAAGGGGAGGAAATAATAGACTCCTGGCAAGGGAAGGCATACATTCTCAAGAGAAATGCGTTTATCAGGAGACTAGCTGATTTGTTCAGTAGAGCTTTTAAAACTGAATGAAGGAGTGGGGAGAAATGAAAGTTCAGACAATGGCTTTTTATTTTGGAGGCCAGTAGATTGGGAAACAAGTGGAGGGGATTTCCCATGAATCATAGAAAAAAGCATTGGAAAAGAAGTTAGAAACAGTGGTCTAGAATAGCACTGTCCAATAGAAATATAAATGAGCCACATAATGTAATGTGAAGTTTTTAGTAGCCACATTTAGCCCTTTGCACTCCGAACCATTCTGGACATTGGCTACCAGCTACTCGATGCTACTTTGCGGCGGAAACGTGCATTTACAGACCCTCGTATTATTTAGTATAATTTTGGAACCAAGTAACGTATTATAATGATATTGGACTTATATGAATTGGGTGACATCAAGGAATGTATATTTGCAAAAAAAACAATATTTTATTGTTTATAATTTTGTACAGTATGATAAGTTTTGTAACACTCCCCAATATGCATTGCAGGCTGATTAGTGCATGTTTGACAGTAATAAGTGGTTTGACGCCTGCCACCAGGTGTTTTCCTGTTAGAACACACAATGCAGTCCCGTTTTCTTTGTCCCACATCGGGAATATGTAGTTTATTGTTTAATCCGACACAAAACCCGCTGACATTTCTTGTATATATCTTAGTAATTTTACGATATTTTGATTTAATTTCTTGTGCCATTTCAAGATAAAACTTCAGGGAAACATGCATGTCTCAAAAAGTTGCGTTGAAATAACTCAATTCCCCGTAATCACTAATAAACTGCAATGTCCACTGACAGGGGACATCCAAGTGATATGCTAGAATTCCGATGTCCCCTGAGAGGGGACAGCGGAGTGCAAAGGGTTAAAAAGATGAAAAGAGCCCCGGCCAAGTGGCTCAGTTGGTTGTCACCCATCCCATATACCAAAATGGTTGCGGGTCCCAGTCAGAGCACATACCTCCTACATTGTGGGTTCAAACCCTGGTTGGAGTGCATTTGGGAATCAACCAATTGATGTTTCTCTCCAACGTCAACGTTTCTCTCTCACCACCACCACCCCCACCTCTCTCTCCCTACGCCTCTCTCCAAAATCAATAAAAACATTTGTTTAAAAAAAGAATCATAGCTTGCTAACAAGTTTTGATTTAACTCATTTCCTTCTTTGATTGGTAAAAAAAAATATATCTTGGATTATAAGAACGATACAGTTGTATCTCTGTTTTGACAAGCCAATTGACAAGCTATCTCTTTGTTCAGACAAGGTGGGAAAATGTAGGCTAAATGCTGAAACAGTTGTGTGGATTAGTAAATGACTGACTGACACTATTCCCAAGCTGATCGGTTTCAGGTCGGAAAGGAGTTTTTATTGGCAGTTTTTATTACTAGATTATCCTTAGCTCTGTCAAGTTCAACATTCTCATCGATGATCAGATGGAGAAACAAAAACTGGGAATAAGTAGAATAATAAGGCAGAAAAGAATTTGATGGAGTGACTGTTAATAAGTTAAACTATAGTGTTCACTTAATAGATATTTATCAAGCATCTACTATGTGCCATGCACATAAAGATAAATGTAAGGTCCTACGATCAAAGCATAAATTAATAAAATTTTAAAACCCAGCTGCTTAAATATTATATAGGGGAGCAAAACATTTTAAAATATTGTAATTTTTATTTTTAAATATTGAGATTTTAATTGACAATAAGCTTAGTATATGAATTGGGAGTTCTGATGCAATCATCAGAGAAACTGAGACCTTAGGCATCAATAACAAAAGCATGGCTTTTAACAGAAGGGTTAGTGGTGGCCAGGTCTACTCAGTACTAGACTATTCTAGAAAATGGCTTTCTGTTCTGGGCTCTGCATTGAGAAATTGAATGAGATTCAGGTGGAAAAAAAACAAAACATATTTAGCCTAAAGATGAGACACAAGAGAACTGTAATCATTGTCTCCAGACATTGAAAAACCATCCTGAGAAATAAGAGCATTTATGGGGTGCATTTTAAGCATTTGACATGGATTGACTCATAAAATTCTCAAGCAATCACTGAAGTTAACATTATTATTCCAATTTGGGAGGTAAGGAAAATGAAGCTCAGAAAGGTTAAATAAGTAACTTTCCCTGAGTCACACGCCTAAGAAATGGCAGACCTGTGCAGTCTGCCTCCAGAACTAAATAAACTCCTGACCAGTGTGCTTCTTGCCACTCCTGGAAGAGGGATTAAGTTTGTTGTCCTTGGCACCAGCTGATTCAGTGGGTTCAGTGAAAGACGTGCAGAGAAACTCAGCTCAGGTCAGATAAAACATCTTCAATGAGCAGTCGGAATACGGGAGGGAGTCCTGTGTCTGCCCCTGGAGGTCCTGCAGCCTAGCCTAGCTCACTCCTGACAACCATGGAGAAGGAACCAGCTGAGCCAGTGTCTCTTGTTTATAAGTTGATGTATTTTTTAATTTGTATAACAAATACTTTCTTTTAAGCATTTATTTAGTAGCTTTATACGGCTTGATATATTGTGTTTTATGGCACATTTTGAGTAATAATTTCTCAGACAAACGTCATATTGTCATTAAAATTTCCTGATCTTGCCAATGTTTTCCTGATTGTAAAGTTCATCATTTTTATTGTAAAAAAATTAGAAAATCTAATAAAAGAATTTAAAAGCTCATACACTATCACCACTCAGAGATAACTTATCATTATTAACTCTTTGATGTAACTTTCCCAATCATGTAATGTTTTTCAAGGAAAAAATTGACTCTTGTTTTAGGTCTATTAAGATTATTTCCACACAAGAATAATTTATTTTGATAAATTCTGGCAGTTCATCTTTTTTGTTCACTTTATTTTGTTTTTATTTTTCTGGCTAGGTTTCTGCCTCAGTGCTCAAGCAGTTTCCCAACAGTGGCCTGAATCCAGGTCTTTTCAATGTGGGGCCCCAGTTATCTCCTCAACAAATTGCCATGCTGAGCCAGCTTCCACAGATTCCCCAGTTTCAGTTGGTAAGTAGCAGATTTTCCTCCCATAACTAAAATGGTTATGTACTTTTTCTTTAACTTGATTTGCTTCATTTTATGTGCGCTCACCTGGGGGTAAAAATGACCAATAGACCAAGAACTTGGTGGCACTTTCCTCGTGGACACTTGACTCAGGAAGCTTAGGGCCTCTCTCTTTCTTCCCTGTAGGCATGTCAGCTTCTCTTGCAGCAGCAGCAACAGCAGCAGTTGTTACAGAACCAGAGAAAGATTTCTCAAGCTGTGCGCCAGCAGCAAGAGCAGCAGGTACATGGGATTGCAAGGGTCCCTCTCTAGTGCTCTTTGTAAGGAGTGCATTTCTACGAAACCTCTTTGATAGCAAAAACAAACCATATGCAATCTTTTCCTGTGAAGTTCGGGATGTTGCCTTACCGTGTGTCTGTTTTCCCTTGGGCCTCCTTGCTCTGGACTGCCCGCCTCCAGCTGGCTCGAATGGTGAGTGCACTGCAGCAGCAGCAGCAGCAGCAGAGGCAGCCGAGCATGAAGCATTCACCGTCTCATCCCGTCGGGCCCAAGCCACATCTGGACAACATGGTACCCAACACTCTGAATGTGGGGCTCCCAGACCTTCAAACCAAAGGGCCAATACCTGGATATGGTTCCGGTAAGTTGTTAGTAATGAGAATTACCTTTTTTTAAGCCTATGGTAAGGATTGAACCTACATTACCCTCTGTTTTCATAACAGCCATACAAAGTGTATATAGTCTTATCCCTGTCTTGCAGATGAGAGGTATCTGAGTTATCAGCATCTGAGAGTTTCTATAGGTTTCAGAAGCTTACCATACAATGAATAAATAGCAAAGACAGGGCTCCAACTTCTGACTGAAAAGCAGTCTTTTTAGATGGATGAATGGCAGTCTGCTTCCCCAGAAGTAGGAATTTTTAAAAACTGGTTCAAATGTTTGTATATGCTGTGAGTGCTACAGGTACCTGAGGTTATAACATTTTAAAATATATACAAGTTGAGATGTTTAACTTGACCGATAAAATTACCTTCTCTTGAAAAAATAGAGAACTAAAATTAAATTTATAAGGCAAACTGATAAAATTCTTCTGATATTTGTATTTCATCTGATTTAAATAGAATTAGCACAAGTAAGGTTACACCTTTGACATTCATAAAGAATTTCTTGGCAGGCAAATCATAGCTCTTTCAGAACTGAGGAACATGTTGTAAGCAGAATCCAATCAGTGAGGCAACAGTTATTTAAAAATAAATTTTAAAAATTAAAAACGTACCACACCACAGCAGGTTTCTTCTCAGATTCACAGTTAGATTTTATTTTGGTAAAGAAGGTACTCTACTGTGCAAACTCAAAGCAAGAAAACCTAAAATCCATGCTCCTAGTTGGCAGAGTGACCCTGGACAATGACCTTGCTCTCTGTGCTCTAGTTCTGTGAGGCACCTACTTATATATGTTTTTATTTCTTTCAGAAAGAGGAAGGGAGAGGGAGAGAGAGATAGAAACATCAGTGATGAGAGAGAATTATCTATTGGCTGCCTCCTGCACACCCCCTACTGGGGATCCAGCCTAGGTGTGTGCCCTGGGTTGACGCTCAACTACTAGCAACACTGGCCAGGCTCAGTTATACTCTTTCTTAAAAATGACCTGAGAACTGACTTAAATTCAATATATCCCTTCTACCACTTGACACAGAAGGGCTGACTCCCCACCATCCCATATCTTGCTCATCTGTGTATCGAACACCAGGGTACCAAGCAAGGAGGAAGCCTCCCATAATAAGTAATGAAGGTGTCATTACCTCCTGGGTTTCCAGTCTGCTTGTTCATCATGTTTTCTGTTAAGGATGAAGCTTGACATAAGAACCTGGGTGTTTTGGTATGTGTTGAGTTGTTCTGAATTTAGACACCATATGCCAGGGGTAGGGAACCTTTTTTCTGCCAAGGACCATTTGGATATTTATAACATCATTCACAGGTCATACAAAATTATCAACTTAAAAATTAGCCTGCTGTATTTGGTCAAACGTTTAATTAACTCACCCCTAATGCCTTGGCGGAGCCAGACCAAATGATTCCGCAGGCTGGACATTCCCCACCCCTGCCATATGTTGTAATAAAGCAGGACAACTTTGCTTCTTCCATTTCTTTTTGTCAAAGAATATGTAGTTCTCAAAGTAGAGTCCAGGCAGTTCAAAGCAAAGAGAGCTTTTGCAAAGTTGCAAGCAGCTTTTCCACATATTTAAGTGCACATGGTTCTTTTCAGCTCTTCTCAGTACTCATCCCTAGAGCATGTCTCAGGTGGAAAGAAAGGCACCCTCAAACGGCTTGAACATACAGGTTACTGACACTTAGTACTCTTAAGACACATTTTCGGCCCTGGCCTTTGTGGTTTAATGGGTTGGGCATTGTCTTGTGCACCAACAGGTTTCTGATTCGATTCCGGGTCAGGGCACATGCCCAGGTTGCAGGCTCGACTCTAGGTTGGGGGTGCAGCCAAGCAATATTTCTCTCTCACATCCATGTTTCTATCTCTCTCTTCTCTCTCCCTCTCCCTCTCTCTCTAAAAATCAGTAAAAATAATTAAAACACGTTTTCACAATGCATCAGGTAAAACCTGTGGATAAACTTTATTACGTGATTTTCTTAATCTGGGTATATATTAGTAAGACCTAAAGTCATGATGTATTTATCTCAGTGACAATCAGTCTTTAGAACAGCTTTAATATTTTCTGCCTCCTATTAAAAAGTAAAATTATGCCTTGACTGTGAATCTGTTTTTAGCACATATACCTTTCTTATTTATTAAGAATATAGAAAAATTTTATCATGATGCCTTGTTAGATTAATGGTATTATTTGTGATTATTGTTTTCGTCTTAACTATTCCTAATGGCTAAAGGATCAGAGTTCAGTATACACACACATATGCATTTATGAAAAAAAATTTTTTATATCATATTCCTGTTTCATAATATTCCTGTTTCATAAGTAACTTAGACATTTAGCTATGTACTGAAATCCTATTGAAGCAAGGAGAAAGAACATATTGACTTATTAACCTGTTTACGTTTAATAACTTCTTAAACAATAGCTAAGTTAATTTTATTAGGACTTTATCATATTAATTGTAATCTGACCAGTTTTAATCTTCCTTATACAAGATACATTTTGTATAATTTTTCTTAATGTATATTACCTTATTTATTTAAATTGAAAAATATATTTTGGGACTCAAAGTAAGTCTGATTTGGCTGCCTGTTTTGAATAAATCTGTAGCTATAAATTTTGATGAAAATATATTTCAAGCTTATACAGATTAAATTTTTTTTCAAAAAAGATTATATGGCAAAGATGTAACAAAATGAATAGTATTTTAATCTTTCTAATGCTGAGTGTATCAATCTAAAAAAGATACCCATGGATTAAAGTAGCAGGAATAATTCAAATTATCTTAAGTCTTGATAAAGTCTCTTTTGGTATATTTTCTCAAAATTAAAAAGTTAAATGACTTTTAACTGCTTAACTAATTCTTAATTGATTGTTTCTGTAAAATGGATTTTTTTTTAATTCTCTGCTTGTAGCAAAATTGAAAAATTAAATTGTCAGATGATAATGACCTATCTAAAAGTTATGTTTTAGTATATATGTTATCAAACCCTGGGGGGGGGAGGGGAGGGAGATACTTTAGAAAGAATTCAAAAAAAGTAAGTGATGTTATTTTTTTAAAAATTTAAAAAGAAGTAAGTGATGTTATACCAAGACTCCTTCTTTTCCAATTTGCTTATTCATATAAAATTTATTAGTGCTTTATGTCTATAAAAATTTGTAAAAATAGGCATAATGTAGCATGAATTTGATCTCATTTTAGTAATAAGCCATAGTCATTAGTAGCTGAACTAATCGGTAAAACAGTCACTCATCTTAATAGAAAATGCATTTCCAATAAAATCTCATTTTTTATTTAAAATGTATCAAAATTTATAATATTTATGTGTGCATACCTAGTGGAAAGTAAAGTTATGAATATTACAGATTTTTAAAATAGAGTAATTTGTATCTATGAATGTGGCAATATCATGTACATGTGGACATGGATTGAACTGTTGTGTTAAATGGGCAACTGTGGGTGATTTGTTTCTCTTGTAATGTGTTTATTATAATTATTACAAAAGCAGTAGTTTGTTTTTTAATCTACAATAAAAGGAGTAGCAGAAAATAGAAAACTACAGACAAAGGGATGAAGGGGGAACAATGAAGGGCAAGTTCATTTGAGAGAGTTTCCTGCAGATGCTAAGCACTGAGCCAAGTGGTAGTGAAGAACAGATGATGAATTTAGGTGCATGGAAGCCGGAGAAAGGACAGATAAGATACACAAAGGGTTGTTTTTGTAAGAATGATAAGATAGCTAAAAGGGATATCCTGGTGAAATGAGTCCCTGGGAAGGCAAGGGGCATGTCTTATCTCTCTGTACCTGTTGCTAACATAGAACCTGGCACAAATTGGGCTCTCCATAAATATTCATTAACTGAACTAAGTGGTTTGTTTGATTTGAGTTAAAGTGTTGGTGAACTGGAGAATTGCAGGGAGGCCACTTGGTGGGCAGCTTGGTTTTAATGAAATAGCAAGTGTAATAAAGTCAGAGTTTTCCTGGGTTTAGCGGTCTGATAGCTCATAAGTAGCCCAGAGATCACAAGTGGTGTGCTCCTCTGCTTCCTGTTAAGAGCACAGCGCCCCAGAATCCCTCCCTCCAGAGTTGCTGAGTGCATTCTGTGTCCTGATGTCATGCCAACACTGTATGACATCGAGAAAGAAAGAGTCATGTACAACCTTGCACTGATTTTTTTTCCCTCTCAATGGTTTTGGGTTTAGAGGGTAAACCCTTCAAGGCAGTTTCATCTTCTGTCCTTCCTGTCACCCCTTTAATTGTTTTCCTTACCAAACCTTGTTATTTAGTTATGGTGCTGCTATATTTTGGTGGCATTTGATCCCCAAGTTTCTAATGAGAATGATGCCCACTTTGCTTAAGGTTCAGATGGACTCCTGAAACTCTCCCCTCTCCTATGATTTATAACTCTTACTAATTTTCTACACTTCATGTGTCACAAAAGAACTCTAAACAGCTGAAATTTAATACCTTTAATTCCCTATGAGTTTTAGAGAAATTTTAGAGCAACGTTAAAGAAAATTAATGTGTAAGGAATGGTTCCTTATCCTCTTACTAATCCCTACATTCTTGTTTTTAATCTTCACCAGAATCCTGAGTTATTTTCAAAAGCTCTTTCTCAATGACTGGAACCAGCTTTCAGATGGCCTGGAATCCAAGCACCTTGGGCTGGTTTTCTCTGTCAAAGGTAGAGGTGTAATTTGCCCAAGGAGCAACACACTTAGGCCATTAAAGCTTATGTCAGAGAAAGCCCTTGTTCCGTTCAACTTCCCTGCCCTCCAGTCTTATTTCAACTCAGCAACATAGGACAAAAGATGAAAATATCTTAAACCCTATTTTTTAAAAATTGTTTAATTTGAAATAATTTCAGCTCACACCAAGGATTTCTACTCTCCACCCTTCAGTTACTTAGACTAGTGAAGTCAGTTACAGTGTGAAAGAACAGAGTTCTTTATATTTATAGCAACATTTTGAACATGTCAAGAGGGTGTTAGAAATGGACTTGAACTTGATTTATTATGCATTTGTAAAACTATACCTGACAACTAGGAGAAGCACGGGGGGACCAATAAGACACCAGCAGATGGTAGGAGAGTAAAATGGATGCAGCATGGAGTCTTGCATGGCCAGAGCTGCACATTCTAGAATAAGAATAGATTGGCTTTGGCTCTTGTAAGCCACCTGAGCTTCGGCATGGGGAACCTTGATCACCTCTCTGGGTTGCTACACTTACTATAGCTCTTAATCGTCTCTCTGGTTATTCATTGCTCTTCCCCTTCTCTGTTTCATTGCTTTATTTTAGTCCTTTATTTTACTTTTGTGACAGTGGGTTTGAAAAATATTAAGTATATTCTGATCCAAAATGGATGGTGGATCTTGTGAAACTCCATCAACGAGTCTCTCACTTTGGCTTTCTCCTGTCCAGCCCTCTGCAGTGGGAAAGCATTACCCACCAAAACTCTTGGGGAAAGTCTGATACCCGAGGCTTACGTAGGGGCTCATGGCAAAGTCAGCTCTGAACCTCTTACTAATAACCTATTCGAGCTTTGGGATCTGCATCACTGCATAAAAACTTTTTCAAATTGATCTCTCACATTCTATCCTGCTATCCTGGCCTTCAACTACCCATTCTCACCTTGCCAGTTCTCTTTCTAAAATACAAACCTAGCTACTGCTTAAAATTTTCTTTATCTCCTGTCTTAGAGGAAAAAAGGTCCAAACTCCTTTACCTGATATATAAAGACCCTGCATGACATGACTCTTCATTTCTCCCGCATCTCCTACCATTCTGCCTCACTTCGTCCATAGTTAGCCAGCCAAGCATTGGAATTACACCGTACTCTCATTCCTTAAATATTGTCATGAGTTAGAGCTTTGTACTTGGTTTGCTTGATTTCCTCACATACCTACCTAGGCCCCAGGTCAAATTTCCCTTCTTCTGCAAAGCCTTTCCTCCCCCAGTACCCTTACCACAACCTCATAGCTGCTCTTATTCTGTATTCGTTTAATGTGTGGACACCTCCACCTCAGTTGGAGAATCACTGTCCCCAACATTTATTTGGCACAAATGTCAGCTAAATTAATAGGTGAGTGAGGTGGTCTTAATTATATGGCAGCCATACACATTTTCATACCTTAACAGAGTCGTTATGTTTTTAGCAAGCAAGACCAAGATCAGTATTTTGAATTAAAATGTCTGTTTCTGAATGAAACTCCTTGAGAATTAGTCTTTAAGTTACAAATGAATCCATTCATGGGTTCTGCCTCAGAACTCTTGTTACTGATACTGAAATTTATAGAAAGACATAAAATGTGGTTGTCTGTTTTAGGCTTCAGCTCTGGCGGCATGGACTATGGCATGGTTGGCGGGAAAGAGGCTGGGACAGAGTCTCGCTTTAAACAGTGGACCTCCATGATGGAGGGACTGCCCTCTGTAGCCACACAGGAAGCCAATATGCACAAAAATGGTAAGAGCAAGCAAAGCATTATGAGTCGGAGCTCTTCTGACCCTCAGCAGGCCTTGAAGTGTCCTGTAAAATTATTTTAAAGCATAGATTTTTAGCTTTTTTTTTTTTTTTTTAGCAAGCCTCTTAATTTCTCCCCAAAAAATCTTATGGTTGCCTATGAAGGAAGATTCAAATTATAAGAATGCTAGTTCTAATTAAAGAGAGCAAAACTTCCCACCTGTGGTGGGACGGGATTGAGGATAGTAGAAGCGAATTTAAGCACCCATTTAGGATAAAACCCTAATGAATTGGCTGAGAGAACAAAAACAGGTTATTTTTAGGTGCATGAGATCACAACAAATATATTGATTTTTGAACCTTTCAACCTCCAAAAGATGACTAATAGATCAATACATGAGATTTGAACTTTTCACAAAGCTTTCTTGCTCTTTATGGATTATAGCAATTGAGGGCATTCTAGGCTTTGGTTGTAAATGTGGGTCAGCCCTTCATCTCCAAAGTTCTCTGTAAGAGCTTCTCCATTTCCCTGTAAGACAGAGAGAAGGTCTTGGAGTCTTCCTTCACCCTTTGTTTCAATGTTAGTTTCAATAGATGTCTATGAGAACCAAGTATAAATAGGAGTGGGACTGCTGCTGCAGCTCCCTGGCAGGCCTCGCCCCGTCATTCTGCAGCCTGCCATGGCCTTTATAAGCCATTCTTAAAAACGTGCCCACCCAGCGGCTGCTCAAGTGGCCACTTGGAGCTCTCTGCCTGCTACCCCAAATCGTGTCATTTGATTTTGTGCCACAAAATGAAGAATGATTTGTAGAAACTAAGATCTGTTTCTGAACTCAATAATCCAAGCCCATCATCTATAGCTTCAGGCACTTACACTGCTTCCTTCCCCAAAGACTTGATAGGTGCAGGACAATAAATACAAAATGGCCGGTGAGAGGCTATCGCGAAGGTAGGACAGCCGCTTGCCTTTTTAGAGCTAACAGGTAATATTTTCCCCATTTCCTTAGCAATCTCCAAGGGACTCGAGCTTTTCGTGCTCTACGGCTACCCTGGACTGTGCCCTCGGATCAGATTTCTTTCAGAGGCTCCAGAAAGTCAGTGACTTCTTAGCTGAGCATGGAGATAGTTTTGTTGATACTCCTGCTAGGCCAAACCAAATACATAGCCTTGGAACTAATTTTATCAGTTCATAAATAGGACCCTAAGAATAGATCAAGTGACACAATACAACATGTAAAATTTGTTTGAGAAATAGGTAGAATGGTATCTCACGGAGGCTAAAAATGTTATTTAAAGTAAAGCTCATTTTTTTGTTAGTTGAAGGGAATTTTAAGCATTTGATTTTTTCCTGCCTCGTGGCATATAAAATGTATGAAGCGGGCGCTGACAAAACCGCTGAAATGCTCTCAGGAAAGTACTTACAAAGGATTTGCTGTTCTTCGTGTGTGGGGCCATGGATCTCAGAGCTGCAGAGTTCACTGCTGGTCTTGTGCTGGCAAAGACCCTAGGCAGGAATTCCATCTCATGGCTTTGGAATTTAAAGCAATTGCAGATGCTTTTCTCTCCAGTGGACTTCCCTACGTTTATATTGCTTCTGCCAGCAAAACTAGGCCTGATCAGCACTGAAGAACTTGGGTGGGTCGGTAATGTCGATATAAATGTAGTTAAAAAGCCTTCTTATGTGCTGCAAGTTGTTTAATGTTCTTATTATTTCTCTTGAGTCATTAGTATAGAAACTGTGGGGATAGTGGTGTGATTTGTAGTTTATGAAAGTTTAGTTAACTTCATAAGACCATGGAATTTTAAAACTGAAAGGAATATTCAAGAATGAAAATAGTGCTTTGTGCATGAGTGAGAAACTGAAAGGCTCAGAAAAGTGAAATGAATTGTTCACGATCATCCCTCTTATTAATTATATGCTGGATCTCAAGTGTGACCCCTCATCCTAGTACTCTTTCTACTACATAAGCTTCAGAATACTGTATTTGTTTGAGTTTCTCTAAATAAAAGATTGATAAGTTCTATTCACAGGAGTCCTTTCCAAATGTGAATTAATTTCCTCTCTCTTTTGTCAGGCGCTATAGTGGCCCCTGGTAAAACCCGAGGAGGGTCACCATACAACCAGTTTGATATCATCCCAGGTGATACACTGGGTGGCCATACGGGTCCTGCTGGTGATAGCTGGTTACCTGCCAAATCTCCACCAACAAATAAAATCGGAAGTAAATCCAGCAATGCCAGTTGGCCTCCAGGTATTGTCCAGGAATTCTGAACAGATTGTTTTTGCCACCCACTTTACTAAGGCATCTACTTTCATTTGCTTCATTTAGTAATTATTGCCTGATAAAAGCAAAGTATGTGATATGCTGTGGGAAGATAGAAAATTTTCATTACATACGGTCTCTGCTCTGTAGCGTTCAGTCAGGAAAATAAGGTGTTGACACTGATCGCCTGCAAGGTAAGCTACTGAGTGGTAAATACTGCGTGGACTTGGGTGCACTGAAGGAAGTCAGAGGAGGGGAATCCGGAGATAAAAGAAGGTGACTTTGAGCCGGGGCTTGGCATGCATTTCATAGGATGCTTTGTAACCTGGATTCTTCTGAAATAGCCATTGAATTGATTTATTTTTTAAGCACGTATTTATTGTCAGGTTCACAGCAGTGAGTGAATGAGAATATTTGTTGCTTCTCTCTCTCTCTCTCTCTCTCTCTCTCTCTCTCTCTCTCGTGCAAATAACCTATTCATTGTAGAAAAAAATTTTAATGTAGTAAAGCAAAAATAAAAAGAACATTTGGTATATGTTCTTCTAAACCTCTCTATATAGTTATATTTGTGATATGAGTATGCTAAGTTTCAGTTTATTAAAGTAGGCTTGTATAATGCCTGTTGCTCATTTATAATGCATATTGCTTTCCTTCATCATGATTAGAAAAATAAAAGTTTATTAACACATCACATAACTTTAAGTATGATTGAAATTAACCAATAAAAGCCAAAACCGGTTTGGCTCAGTGGATAGAGCGTCGGCCTGCGGACTGAAAGGTCCCGGGTTCGATTCCGGTCAAGGGCATGTACCTGGGTTGCGGGCACATCCCCCGTGGGAGATGTGCAGGAGGCAGCTGGTCGATGTTTCTCTCCCATCGATGTTTCTAACTATCTATCTCTCTCCCTTCCTCTCTGTAAAAAATCAATAAAATATATTTAAAAAAAAAAAGAAATTAACCAATAAAAATTGTAAACACTATTTATACATATTCCAGGCTTTTTCATGATAAGCCTGATTATTCCTGCCAGTTGTCCCTGCACATTTCGTCTAGTAGTGGTCATTTGTATTGTATTTTCTTTTGTGCATCTGAGCCAGTTTGCAGTGAGATAAATGGGAGAAGCCACTGATTCCCAACCTAGATATTGTCTCAGTTCTTGTCCTAGATGCCTGAATAGTTCTCATGAGCACCAGGCCTTAATCCTGCCTCTCTGCCCCCAAGCCTGAATTTCCCTGGGAGCAGGAAGAGCAGGTATCGGGACTAGGCACTGATGAGCTCTGGCATTACGTTCACAACCCATAGAGAGACAGAAGGCTGACATGTTGTGATAACACAAAGGTTGCTGCCAGAGTATATTTTCAGGACGACATTTTAAAAAATTCTATGATGAAAATCTGAAATAAAATACAGATCTATTTCTTATATGAAAAAATAACTTTATTGTACCATTTTTTGAACAACCTTCTACCTCTTGCCTGGCGGCGTGGCTCAGGAGTTGAGCATTGCCCCATGAACCAGGAGGTCACTGTTCGATTCCTGGTCAGGGCACATGCCTGGATTGTGGGCTTAATCCCCAGTGGGGGGCGTGCAGGAGGTAACTGATCAATGATACTCTCTTATTAATGTTTCTATCTTTCTCTTTCTCTCTGAAATTAATAAAAATATATTTAAAAACAAAAACCTCTAATACTTGTTCTTCTTCTCTCAGAATTCCAACCAGGAGTGCCATGGAAAGGTATCCAAAACATTGACCCTGAATCTGATCCCTATGTCACCCCAGGAAGTGTGCTGGGAGGTACAGCCACATCTCCCATTGTAGATACTGACCACCAACTTCTGCGGGATAACACCACAGGTAAATAAGTCAAGCATCCCTTGTGTTGATGATTCAACACCCAATATTTTCAGATGTGTCAATCTGTGGCTTCATTTATACTTGCTACTATCTAATAACCAGAAAACATAAGAACATAAAGCTTTTCCAAGTTTCATTTGTTATACTGACATTTATCTGCAATATTTTTATCTTATTTTTCATATGTCACTCAAAGGGTCTAATTCTTCCCTCAACACCTCGCTGCCTTCACCTGGTGCCTGGCCCTACAGTGCCTCTGACAACTCCTTTACCAACGTTCATAGCACTTCAGGTATGAGTGTGACCTGTTTGTTTCCTTTTACACAGGAAATTGGCATGTATTTCTTAACGAATACTTTTATAGTAGTTGAATAGCAGCAATATGTCAGCATAGATGGAGGCACAACTCTTGTATTGACCATGTTCTGGAGGACCTTCCAGTGTCAGAGGGGCAGGATGAGACGTACAGCTTTAGGACAAAGCAAACGGTGACATAATCACAGAGAGCTGTCAGTGTGAAAGAGGTCAGAGGTTATATCCTGATGACACAAGTGCTTTTCTTTTAACCAATCTCCCAAGAGAATCAAGGGCCATGGGAAGAACGAGGTAAGACCAGGTTTTATTCCTAAAGCAGCCAATTGTAGCTTGCTTTTCTCTAAAAATCCTTTCACTTTCAGACAAAGACTATGGGCAGCCCTGGCTGGGTAGCTCAGTTGGTTAGAGCATTGTCCCGATATGCCAAGGTTGCAGGTTTGATCCCGTCAGGGCACATATAAGTATCAACCAATGAATGCATAAATAAGTAGGACAACAAATATCTCTCTCTCTCTCTCTCTCTCTCTCTCTCTCTCTCTCTCTCTCTCTCCTCTCCCCCCCCCCACTCCTTTCCTTTCTCTCTCTAAAATAAATAAAGAAATAAATTTTTAAAGGCTAAGGACAGATGGCTAAGGGAAAACAAGAGGACCTTGATTAATTCTACCAACAACCTTTGCTGAGTTCCTTTTTTGTTGTTTTGTTTTTTGGGGAATACTAGGGAATGGAAAAGTTAATGGCTATATAATGGATATAATAGAGCCTTTGAAGGCACTCAACACAATGCCTTACAGATTGGGAGAGAAATCATGAGTAATTGGCACTTTGGTCTTGGAAAAGTTAGACCTTAAGCCATTCAACTCATTAAGGCTTCTGTTCTTTGTCTAGGCAAAAGTAAATAAAACAAATCCTTAGCTACCTACTAAGACTCTGCAGGTTAATGACCTTACAAATTATTTTCGATTTTTTTTCTTTTTACCTCTGTCATATCAACAGTGCAACAGTGATCTATCATTTTATTGAGTGCTCCTGTAAACCAGGCAGCATGCTAAGCCTTCAGCATGAATTCCTTTAAAAAAAAAAAAAGCAATGACTTATTTCTTTCTAATGACTCAGTGGGTTTGAAGTCTGGGCAGGGCCTCGTTGGCCAGTTTCTCTGCTGCGATAGGGTCAGCTGGGGTGTCTCATGAAGTTGCAGTCGATGGCAGCGGAGCTGAGCTGGAAGGTTTCCCTCAGATGTCAGCTGTCCAACTCCCCAGTGTGCCTCCTCTCACTGCATGTGCTGCCTCATCACAGTATTTTATCTCAAGCTTCTTTTTTTTTAATTGAATTTATTAGGGTGACATACGTTCGCAAAACCATATAGGTTTTAAGTGTACAATTCAAGAAAACATTATCTGCACGCTGCATCATGTGCTTATCGCCCCAAGTAAAGTCTCTTTTGTCCCCATTTTACCCCCTTGCCCACCTCCACCTACCCCCCAGCTATCACCACACTGTTGTTAGCATAAATTCTATTTTTTTCTTTTTAAGATCCTTTTTTATTGATTTTTTAAAAATATTTTTTTTTAATGATTTCAGAGAGGAAGCAAGAGGGGAGAGAGAGAAACATCAATGATGAGAGAGAATCATTGATTGGCTGCCTCCTGCATGCCCCCTACTGGAGATCGAGCCTGCAACCTGGGCATGTGCCCTTGACTGGAATCGAACCTGGGACCCTTTCGTCTGCAGGCCGACGCTCTATCCATTGAGCCAAACCAGCTAGCAGTGGTTCTCAACCTGTGGGTCGCAACCCCTTTGGAGTCGAACGACCCTTTCACGGGGGTCACCTAAATACATCCTGCATATCAGATATTTACATTATGATTCATAACAGTAGCAAAATTACAGTTATGAAGTAGCAACGAAAATAATTTTATGGTTGGGGGTTACCACAATATGAGAAACTGTATTAAAGGGTCGCGGCATTAGGAAGGTTGAGAACCACTGAGCTAGGGCTTTTTTTTTTATATATATAAGAGGAAGGGAAAGGGGGAGGGAAAGAAACATTGACGTAATACAAAACATTGATCAGCTGCCTCCTGCATGCCCCCTACTGGGGATCAAACCCGCAACCTTTCAGTACACAGGACCACACCCAACCAACCAACTGAGCCACACCAGCCAGGGCTCAGCATGAATTTTTATCTTACTTTCACTAAAAGTAAGGAGGTTCTGGTGCTGTCCCCATTTTGTAGATGAAGAAACTGAGGTTCAAAGAGCTAATGTAATTTGCCTCAGGTCTGAGTGAGTGTGTAAAGGAGCCAACTCAGTATTTCATGTTTTAACCACTACCCTACATTATACTTTTGTAGGACTTCTCCCTTACATGTAAAAACTCATTTTCACTTAACTCTTTTATTCCTATAACTGCCCATATCTCAGGTTTATCTGATTTATCTTGTGTCTATAATTGGACATTCACCTGAGAGATGGCCCAATAATTAGCCCAGATATGTCTCCCCACTCAAGGCTCAATCCCACCTCCAAAATTATCTTTCCTTTTTAACTAAACTCTGTATTTTTCTTAGTGATGCTCCCATGTGTCACTAAGTCACAAATGTCAGTATTGTTTTGCTCTTTCCTTTCTCCCTTGTTCCCTGGATCCAGGCAGTGATGATGTCCCCAAGTGGTTTAGTCTACCGTCGTACCTCTCCTATCCATGTCTCTGTTCCATTCTGTGTGCTGTCACCCGGGTTTTAGATCCTACTTTAAATACTACATACTGAATCTACTGCAAAATCTCCTCCTGATAGCTCAGTCAGTCCCCAGCCTGCCTTCACGGCCGCCTTTACCTCTCTGCCCCTGTGGAATGTTCAGCCAGAATTGGGGGAAAGCATATTTGGTACAGGATGGGTGTAAATTGAACCTTGGTTTATATTTTTCAGTCTCTCTGAGCCCATCTATTTATGTAAATCCTTCAAGACCCGTCTTTGCAAAGCCTTTGCTGACAGTCCAGTCTTGTCTTTCTTCTCTGTGTATTGAGCATATATGATGTTGCCTGGGGTTACCAATTTTGTTGTTCACTTGTTTTGTCTTCCCATCTGACCTTGAAGTTCTTGAGAATAACTGTTTATATTACCCACACACTGATTTAGCGTCTTAAAGCATAGTAAGCCCTTAGAGAATATTTGTTGATTGTATTTTTTAAAATCTGTTGATATCTAATATTCTGGATATCAAGAAAAATGTAATTTTCTAATGTAATTTCCATTAAGTCAATAAGTATTTGTAGAATGTTTTAGTTCTGCTAGGTTTCATATTCTATATCTAGAAGTCTGATGGGTTCAGGAATACTGTCCCCTTTGAATTTATCTTCCCTTTCGGGCTGTGTTTAGTTAAGAAAGCTGTAGGGAATTAGGTAACTTACTAAAGCTTTACTCCATTTGTTAATTTGTCAATTCAGAGTGATAGTCATTGAAAATTTTATATTTAGTAAGCTCAAAAACTATTATTTTGCATTGCTGCGTTTTAAATGTGCGCTTACTGTTTTTAGAATTTAAATGTGTGTGCATGCGCACAAAAGTTGTGTATTTGGTGACAAAAGTAACCTTACTCCTTCCTCAATTTTCTTACAGCAAAGTTCCCTGATTACAAATCAACATGGTCCCCAGATCCCATAGGACACAACCCCACTCATCTCTCCAACAAGATGTGGAAAAACCATATTTCCTCAAGGAACACTACACCGCTGCCCCGCCCACCGCCTGGTCTGACCAACCCCAAACCATCATCTCCCTGGAGCAGCACAGCACCACGATCAGTCAGGGGGTGGGGGACACAGGACTCACGGCTTGCCTCGGGTGAGAAGGATCTGCATAAAGGAGCATCCTTGTTCAAACACAAAGGTCTTACGTTAACACAAATGGTGCAGATGTGAAGTCTTCACAAGAGAGGAAATGCAGGTTGGCTGGTAGAGGCGAAAGTGTCTCTTGAGTGGAAAATTGCAGTCAGTGTAAGGCAAAGGGACCCAAGAACTCCCAAGGTGCTGATGGAGTAAAAATGACGAATGGCAGAGTGAGAGCACTAGGAGGAAAACGTTGTCTTGTAGAGAAGGTATAAGAATGCATAGGGGTCCGGGTCTCGGAGAAGAGAGCTGGCTCCTCGGTGACGAGATAAAGATCAGAGTGAGGTGGAAGAGAGACGCTGATTTATACGAGGAAGAAGCAGCATGTGGGCTATAGGAAAATGTTTATCACTCGTGCCTTTTTACATTTCTTGATTTTTTTTTTCTAATCTTATTTTCTGATTGCTTATAGCCTCTACCTGGAGTGATGGTGGTTCAGTTCGTCCTAGTTACTGGCTGGTTCTTCATAATCTCACTCCTCAGGTAATCATGCTTCCTTGTGATTTTCTAGATAGAACTTAATTGTGTTAAGAGAGAGAACCTCAGAGATGTGGGCAGATACAAAAACTAATTTATTTCCTGTCACTGCAGAGAGGTCTAGCCTGCAAGGGTGTGTCTCCCCACCCAAGGCTCAAAGCCTACTGCTGAATGGGGGGTGTTGACCACTCAGCTTCACGCCTGCCTTCATGGTGATGTTAACATGTGTAGTTTATAAAATGGTGACAGTGGGCGTTATTACCTGGTGAATTCTGTTTAGCAGAGATAACTTGCTGTATAGATTTGCCTGGCAGAATCTAGAACTAAGTGGGAGATAGCTATTTAAGTGTTTTAACCACATGCAAAAACTTACCTGTTTTTGTTTTAATTACTGAAGACTTGAGACTTGATATTAACTGTTTTTCTGCTTCATAAATAATTAACCATCTATCTCTGCAGAAGGAATGTGTCTATTTCATGAGGCTTAAATGCCTCGTGGGTACTTCTGATTTTTCTCTCTGTTACCCTCTTCTGTGTAGATGGTAGTATTCCTTTCCATCATCAGAACATGCCCTCTGGGTTGTTTGTAGTGTGGTGGGACTTCATTTGTACCAGAGCACCCTCCCTTCACATTGGTTGCTTTGATGACTGACATATTTGCAGCAGCATTATGTTAATAAGCATTCAAATGAGGTTAAATGAACCCATCGAAACGAGCCCATACCCTTCATTTGGACTTGCCAGCACAACCTTTACAGCATCTTGTTAAAAGAGACAATTAGGTGCCCGGCTGGCATGGCTCAGTGGTTGAGCATCGACCTATGTCACGGTTCGGTTCCCGGTCAGAGCACATGCCCGGGTTGTGGGCTCGATCCCCAGTGTGGAGTATGCAGGAGGCAGCCGATTGATGATTCTCTCATCATTGATGTTTCTGTCTCTCTCTCCCTCTCCCTTCCTCTCTAAAATCAATTAAAAAATATTTTTTAAAAAGAGAGATCAATTAGGCCTCCCTGTCTTCAACACACAGAATGAATTTGTGTACACTTTGCTAAGCTAGCACTTCCAGAGTGGTTCCCATGGGATATTAGTAGATGTCTGGCCTAATACGTTGGGAATGTATACTTGATTAAACAAAATTAAGCAGGTTTCTTCACTATGAGACTTTTTAGTTCCTTTAATATGCTAACATGTGTTATGATCCACAGTGGGGAAATAGAGCTTCTCCTAAATTTATTTGCCCAGCGAACTTATCTAATGTTCTTTTGTCACCAAATACACATAAATTTGCGAGTAAACCCAGGGCTGGTACATGCTGAGAAAGGCAGTTTCCTAAATACAATTAACATGAGGAAGAGTCTGGATTGGCTCTTAATCCTGTATCTAATAATTCAGCTAAAAGCCCCAGATTACTTAGCTAATATTTGACTAAAGCATGAAGATTTTTTATAACCATCCTCAAAACTATATCTGCCTCATTATTTCTAAGTAGTCACACACAGTGTGGTGGGTGTAGTGTGGTTAGGATGAGAGATACACTGTATTGAAATGAGACTGGGCAAGCCAACCAGCTGTTCACTCGCATTTTATTTTATTTTTCACTCCCGTTTTATAATATGAAAAATAGTATGTATATATGTGTGTAAAAGGAATATAGGGATTGGCTGTTTTTGTATTAGAAAGAATTCAATAATTTTAAAAATCAACACTTGCCGCTTAGCAGACTAACCTGGGTTATAGTTTAAAAGAATGTTATAAGGTCAAATCTCTGGTGCCTGGATAAATTTACTTTTTATTACCTAAAATATTTTTGGAAGACATCTATCCTAAAAAGTCACTAGTGGCATACACTGATATGCTTCTGTAGTCAATTGTCATTTTAAAAACAATGCTAAGAGCTGTTTCTCCAATCATCTATAATAATAAAAGCGTAATATGCTAATTAGACCAGACTGCCAGACATCCTCCTGGATGACCTTCCTGACGAAGCTGGGGCTGCGAGGGCTGAGGCAAGCCGCCACAGCTGCAAGGGCCAAGCCCCTTGCACGAATGTCGTGCATCAGGCCTCTAGTCTATATATATAAAAGGCTAATATGCTAAGTGTCCGACCAGTCGCTATGACATGCACTGACCACCAGGGGGCAGATGCTCCACGCAGGAGCTTCCCTGATGCACACTGGCCAATTACAAAGAAATGGCTCCGCGGACCTGGCACCCACAAAGCAACACTCGGCTTCCCCCAAGTGGGACACAGGCCCCACCACCACCCCGGAGTGACAGCCCACCAAATCACAGTTGACACTGCCAAGACCCAGTGGTGCAAAATGCGGCCCACAGCCCGGCCCAGCCTGGAAACGGTTGCTTTGGGTGCCAGGTAATGACATTACATAGCAACGCCCAGCTTCCTCTCCCTAGCCTCTAGCCCAGTGGTTCTCAACCTTGGCTGCACATTAGAATCACCTGGGAATCTTTTTAAAATCCTGATTTCTGGGCCTCATCCTTGGGAAATTCTGTTTCTTTGTTATGGGGTGGGGCCACAACATTAGTAACAAAGAAACAGAATTTCCAGAGGATGAGGCCCGGAAATCAGGATTTTAAAAAGATTCCCAGGTGATTCTATGTGCAGCCAAGGTTGAGAACCACTGATAGCCTCCTTGGAGTTTCTTCAGCTCAGGAACACGACTTGCTTTATAGCCAGGTGCAGACATTTTACACTTTAACCAAATGTCTGTGAAGCATTTTCCCATGCCTCATCTCATTTGATCCTCACAGAAGTCCTGGAGTAGGTGGATAGGAGACTCGGTGGAATCCTATTTTCTTTTCATTAGCCAGAAAATGGAGATTTATAAAGTTTAGAACCCAACTGAAAAGAAGTAAGAAATGGTGGACCTTGAAAATGACTTCAGGTTTTCTCACTGCGCAGAATATAGTCAAACACTGCTACAGTTAAATATTTCACCCTTTGTTCTCCCTGCGTGATCTACAATAATAATCTGTTTCGTGTTGATATTTACTGCTGTGTTGCTCACAATTACCTAAAAGAGAAGTTGGGATGCTTCACTGGGCTGGAAAAAGTTTAGCTAAATCAGAAAGCAGGTCTAATTAAGGAAGTTCATATATATAAAGCTCTCGCTGGGTCCAATCACACGCGTGTGTTTCCATCTGTCATTGTCGATCGTGAATTTAGTTGACACTTCAATTATAGAGAAAGGGCCAATAGGGATATTAAAATATTTCTTCTAATTAATTTCCTTTCAATGTGCATGAATTCGTGCACTGGGCCGCTAGTTTTCTAAAGAACTATGGGGAAACTGCCAGTTTTATCCTGCAGGGTTTCCATGGTAAAACCACGGAATGTTTCCCACTGCTGCCGCCAGTAGCACAACTTTTGAAGGCTCTTCCAATAGTAATCTGTTTCACTTCCAAGGAAATGAACTGAAATGTTGGACTGAGCAGCTTAAATAAACATAGTTGAGATCTCGATACAAATAAATTAATCAGAGTGAATAAATAGATCTATTCATTTGAGTCATAGATGAGGGCAATTATCCCCAATCACTGAACATCTTAGTGGTAAGATCCTGGCTAAGGTGAGCAACTACAACCTTTGGTCCCATTGGCAGTGGGCAGCAGAGGACAGAGCAGTAGGTAGAAATAGTTTCACCTTGAGATGGCCAAAGTAGGGGTAAGAGGACATTAGAATAGCCTTTGAGCTGGGGCAGCTGTCAGTACTTTAAATCATCAGATGGTTAGCAGTGCTTTTTTTGTTAGTGGCTTTCTCTCTAGCCCTTTGTGAGGTTGTTAACTGGGGAGGTGGAAGAATACTACATTAGTAATGATGCTGAGAATTTTGTGTTTTCTTAAACTCTTCTTTGGGTAGCATCTTATTTATGCTTTTTAAAGCTCTACAAATTAGCACATGTTCACATCTTAAAGAATATAGACCACAGGTTGAATCATATGCTTTTGTTTTGAGCTTCACTTGTACAAACTTTTTAATTTGCAAAATGGGCACATTAGATCTCTGCCCAATGCTTTGCGTATCTTAAAATTTTCCTTTAAGACCTCTGTATTCGATGCACTCTTTTATTTTGAGTTCTTCATTCATCCCTCCGAGACTTATTTAGTACTAATACTCTTTACGAGCCAGAAGCCCTTCTCATTCTTATGTATAAGAAAGGTCACTTGACTTCCTTTCACACCCACCTTCAGTTTTTATCTCACGAATGTCTTACTCCTTAGATTGATGGGTCAACCTTGAGAACCATCTGCATGCAGCATGGCCCACTGCTGACATTCCATCTGAACCTAACCCAGGGCACCGCCCTGATCCGATACAGCACCAAACAGGAGGCGGCCAAGGCCCAAACTGCACTGCACATGTGAGTACCCATCCTATATGCTCACTGAGACCAACACGCAGGAAGATGCACACATTAATATTCTGGCACCTGCTTAATTAAACAAAGATGCACGAGAACATGCTCAAAACGACACTGTTGTCTAGCAATTGTTTCGTACTGAGGTGGCTGTTCTTTACCTGCCTAAGCGTGGATTGTCCTGTGTACATCATAGGACGATCATGATAATTCCATAAGTGAAAAATTAGTGAAGTAGTAAATAAATTTTAAGTACCATAAAACAAAGATCAATATCTATGAAAATGTGAACCATAATTACTGTCTCTTTTTATAATCCTATCTAACTGCTTACTTTGGCTTCTTTGTGGGTGATGGAATATTGTGGTCTTGGTGAATAGCAGGGGTTTTGCATCAAGTAGGTGGGACTGGATCAGACTTTGAGCATCCCCCTCCCTGCCACTCTCAAACTGATAGTCTTTGGATATCTTGAGAGTTTGTGATATTTTACAACAAACAGCTACACACAGAACAAGCAAGTAATGGTGAGGCTCCAGCAGTGAGCCTGCCCCTGAGATGGAGCAGGAGATGTGGACGCTTCTAGTCAAAGGACTGCACTTTGAATAACAAGGACTCAAAATGCTCAGTCCCTGTGTGCTTTAGGATTTTCCTCAAATCCATAGTTCTTCTCTTCCTTTTTTTGCAGGTGTGTGTTGGGAAACACTACCATCCTGGCTGAGTTTGCCACCGATGATGAAGTTAGCCGCTTTCTGGCACAAGCTCAGCCCCCTACACCTGCAGCAACCCCAAGCGCACCCGCGGCAGGTTGGCAGTCGCTGGAGACCAGCCAGACCCAGTCAGATCCCGTCGGACCTGCTCTGAATCTTTTCGGTGGGTCCACAGGGCTCGGGCAATGGAGCAGCAGTGCTGGCGGCAGCAGTGGGGCCGATCTTGCTGGCGCTTCGTTGTGGGGGCCCCCAAACTATTCTTCTAGCTTGTGGGGAGTCCCAACTGTGGAAGATCCCCATAGGATGGGCAGCCCTGCTCCTTTACTACCTGGTGACCTTCTAGGAGGAGGGTCGGATTCAATCTGAACTTTGAACTTTCAACTCTGACCTCGTGACCTTTTTTGGAACAGCAGCAGCACTAACTTGACCTTTTCGTTTTTTTTTTCAACTTGCAATAAATACATTTTTAAAAGGAAAAAAGAAAACGGAGAGAGAAAAAAAAAAAGGTGGGTCATTGACAGACTGTCTGAGCACATAGTTGCCTCCCTTATAACTTCAGTTTTTTCGTTTGGAATATGAATCCAAAAAGAGAACATATCACTCTTGAAATACTTGAATCATGAACGCCAACCTAGAAAGACAATGTGAAGCAAGTACACATACCATTTAAATTTAAACACAAAAAAATTAAAAAAATTAGTTTCTAGTTTTTCACTTTTTTCATGTTATATGGAAGTTGTTGCTAAGAAACATATATACTGAAAAATAGCTTTTTAACTTTGTTTGCACTGGGTGTGTTTCCGTCCTTAGGTCTACCATGTTTGGGAGGGAGGGGAATTCAAAAGAATTGTTGGGGTGGGGGGAGGGAAGACTTGACGGAGCCTCACTTTAAAAACAAAAACAAAAAACCTAAAAAAAAAAAAAGGAAAAATTTGTGATTGGCTGGTTGATAAATACCAGTGTGTTCTGGCACATGTAACTGCCCAGGCATGCTCGTTCTGGTATGTGTGTGCACGTGTGTTCATGTGCATTCGCGTGCATCCTTCTTTCTGTCTCTGTGTGTGTGTGTGCCTGTGTCCTCTTCTGCCTCCTCCTCCTTCCTGACCCTGATTTCTCAGAAAGCTGCGTTGCTGACAGTCCGTAGGCTGGCTGGCCGGCCATCTGCTTTTTACTTTTATTATTTTTTTTTTTAACTATGAGAACACACAAGCACGGAGAGCCACTGCTACTAAAGCAACTCCTGTGGGCTGCATTAAAATGAACAGAGTGCTTTTTAATGATGAAAGCAGAGAGCTCCTTTGCATCTGCAAATTAGCCTGAGTGTGAGTTTTCTCTAGCTTTTCTTTTGACCTAGCAGTAGAGCGGAGCACTGCCAAGTCCAAAAAATTAGGAGAGCAGGAGGTACCTCTGGGAGCAGCTGTGTGTTTATTTATTTCTGTTTTTTAAAACAAGTGGCCACTAGGCACATCCGAATCTCTGTTAAGTTTTACGCAGGCCTTTTCGTGACTTTGAATGGGAACAGATGATAAGTTAGTTTTTAATTATGTGATGTCTCGAAAGCAGAAAATCTGTGTTCCCCTCCTTTCTTGTGTAATCAGGTATGAGAAATTCATCAGAAAGGTAATGCTGAATCCAACATTTCTATTCTCTTTTTCATTTTGTGGAAACAGAAAAAACTAAGTTGTGAGCAGCCTCCTGAAAGCAGCCGCAGCTCCTCCCTCTCTGCTCCTTTCTTGCTGAGCGTTACCTGTGCCAGGCCGTGGCGTGTTACAGCACCAGGCCATCACTGACAGAAACGTTTACTTAACGAATGTTCTTAAACCAGTGTGTACTTCAAGCGTTTCCTTTTGTTTCTCTGTGTTGTGTATTTCCTGTGTATGTGGTTTTGCTTAGGCAGGTATAACTTAGCAAAGACTTTTAAGTATTGCACCTTTTTTTGGTTTTGACCTCTTTTTTTTCCTTATAATGTTGCTTTTTTATTTTGGTATTTAAAGACTTTTTTTTTTTTTAAAGCATCAATGTAGTAGTACTCTGGGCCGAATAGGAGGCATCTTTTAATCCACAGTTATCACCAACATGTATGTACTTATGTTGGAATCAAAATGTATCAAACTGCTTTTTGTGAAGTTATAGCAGCCCTGAGGGGGTACCCCTTTATACAAAGCAGATGGCGGGTGGGTGGGGGGAGGGGAGTCGTATGCCGGTAATGTGCTAGCACTTGTGTGGACATCCCATCTGCATTATACTGTTTACATAAAGTGCCGACATTCTGTACCAGCAAATACCTGCCCATTCCAACCCTTGGTGGGAGCAGACCTCTACTGTCCTCCATAACTTGCTGCTAGTGAGGACAAAGGAGTTTTTCTTTCTTTAGCATCTTCAGTGAAGGATATAACAATGCCTAATGTATTTGACTTTTAGCTTGTGTATTTGTGTAGGTGGGTGGGTGGGTATGTATAGGAACAGGCAAAAACTCATTCAAGTGGTTTTGTGAGACAATGGGAATTCTGTAGTCCTCTCGGCTTACCCTGTTGATTATAAACCTAGCCTCTAAAGAGATTGACATGCATAATTCAAGTGAGCATTCGCTCATACAAGTCTTTATGCACCCTTCGTGGGTAGGTGGTCAAACTTGAGTTGCCAGCGTTGGTTTGGTCCCATTGGATGCCTTGTAGAAACTTACTGTGCCCTCCTCCTGCTCTCGGTTTTCATCACCACCATGCCCCTTCCACCTCTGCCCACGTACACAGTGTCTCCTCCCAGCCCCACTGACTGCTCTGTGTGAGGAGCAAAACCCTGCCAGGTGGCGAGCTCCAGGTGAAGAGCAGCTGTGCTCAGACATCTCCAGAAGGCTAACTCTTAGCGGCCCTGGGCCCCCTAGGCGAGGAGCGCGTCCCGAGGCTCCCGAGAGCCAGTGGTGGCCCTGCCGTTCTGGTTTCCTGCCGTGTCCTGCCCCACCCTCCACCCTTCCAGCCTGTTGGTTCCTTGACCTGCACTATGGGTTAGTTGAGTTCCTTACGATACTACGGTGAAAGCCGGGTGCTAGAGCCCCTCTTGTTTACAAGACATACTGAGGGATTTGAAATATGTAAAATTAGCATGAGAAGCTAAAATGTTCTTCCATCATAAGCTTAAAGGGAAAAAATTTAAAACTTTTAAAAAAGACCAAAAAGTGCGTATATATATACATATATATATATACATATAAATATATATTTTAGATGAAGACTAACTCTGGGAGCATTTAACAGTGTTTTTTTGTTTTCGTTTTTAACATTTATTTTCCTGCTTTAAAATTTGCAAGCATTCTCAGGAATTCTAGGGTAGGAAGCCAGTTTTTTGAAGATGGGTTTATTTAACCGTATCTTATCCTAGATAGACAGCTGTTTCTTTCCTGTTAATAAACTTTTACAAGTTCCTGAAACTTCAAAAAGTTTAAAAAATTTTTACGTAAAAAAATGTAAAAAGAGAAGTCTCCAAACGTTATTGTCATACTGGGGAATCATACCTTTTAAAACATGTAGAAATAAATATTTTTTAAAATGATCAATTTAGCAGCAACAGGTAAATTCATTATCTTTAAAAATATGGGAGAAGGATTGAGCTTTATAAGGGCTCTATCACGGACTTATTTGATATTGTGTGTAATTTAATGGGAGAGTGTTTGGTATATATAAATGGAAATTCCATCACTTTGTTCCTTTCCATTTAAGACTGAACTGGAATCTCCCCTACTAATTTTTATTTTTGTTAAAGGAACCCTTCTCCCTTCCCCCAGCCCTACCAACAAAAGAAAGGAAGAAAGAAGAAAACAACAGCTTAAATAAAAGTAACTCTAATCTGTAAAATAGTACCGTTGGATTGCTGAGAATCTATGTAAAGAGTTAGGAAATATAGGTTAATAACTTTTGGAACAAATTTTAAATATAGGCATTACTAGAGGAAAAATATCTATGGACTGTTCTATTAATGAAGAATGTCTGTCTTACCTCCATTTGTTATGGCAGGAGGAGAAAATAATAGAATCTAATAAGGAACAAGTGATTTTACTTTTTTTTGCTCCCAGCCACTGTTGTGCTCATTTTAAATGCTGTTTTAAAGATCTGCTGCTTAACTATCCCCGTCCCTCAGCCGGAGATGTGGAGTGTTTCCTTTCAGTTTTGGGTGAGGTTGAATTCTCCTTCTGTATTCCCTCCTGGGGCCCGGGGTCAGAATTCCCAAGCATGACCACAGCTTCTTTTAAACATCTAAGCTTCCCAGCGGGAAAGGAACTCCCACTCGACAGGTACAGGGAGTGGGTGGGGTTGCTGCCTGCAATTTCTCTAAAACCGCGTTAGTGCCTTCGTACATACACCCAGGCACCCTAAGCAGGGGAACCCGTGTGTATGTGCTTGTGGTCCAGACACTCCACGGGCGTTAAGACACTTGCCCGATAAGGACATTGGAGTGGTTCTGGACAGGCCCCAAAGGCAATGGGCTAAATTTAAAGTAAATAAACAGAAATCAAGGAAGTTAAATATGCTTTATGTCTGGAAAATGTGGAATGCCAAGGTCCTTCCTTGTGTTGATGCCCTCCGTTACTGGGCATTGACTTCTCCAGGTGTGTCAGTGTGACAGCGAGAATGATTTGGGAAGTCTCTGTGTCAGGCCAGTAGAAAGGGGTTTGTATTGTTCTATTCTTGTCCTTCCTCTCCTCCCTTTCCCTGCCCTTTTTATTTCTTTTCCTTTTTTTCTTTTATCAACTTGCTGGAAGCTTTGCTTTTTATTGGTTGGCAGTGTCTTAAGAACAGGATATGGTGAGATGTAATGGAAGAGGAAGACTCTGCTTTCCCTGGTATTCTTTGGCAAGAGCCACGTCTGCTGAGAGGATATGCGGCTTCAGAACACTTTAGAAAATTCAGTGGGAGTGTCTTCTCCTCCACTACATTCTGGCATGTGTGCAGAGGCTCGCTAGTCACCTCTCATTACATCAATTTGCTTTATAAACATTCTGATCATGTAAATTTGAGCTTTCCAATTTTTTACTAGTTCCCCTTTATTTCTTTAAACACTTATTACTAGTGGCTAGAGGTGTCCATCTCTCAAACATCACAAACTTGGTTTCTGTCTACCACATGAGTAGCCAAAACGAAAGCAGCACTAGTAGGGAAAGGGATGTCTTCATCCGACTGGGGACCTCTGCTGGCAATTGAGATCCAGTGCCATTACCTAATTTTAGGTGTTGCTGGTTTTTTAAAAAATAGCAAAGTTCTTATCTCCAAGACACTGTGAAAAAGTGGATGTGGCATCTCTGATCCCTCAGGCCCTAGCCCTTGGTATTTTTCATTTACGACATTCACAGAAGTTAACCAGCAGTGCCGCAGTTAAAGCCCCAAACAGAATTCTTTCATCAGTGCCCTCCAGTAAATCAGCATTACCCATAGCCATTCAATTTGTTTTATTTATAGCAGTTTGCTTTTCTATTACTATGGCTCCTGTTCTAAGAACTCTCCCACCTCTTCTGACATGAATGTAGCACAAATTAGCAGGTGGTTCTTCCAAGTTCCTGTGGGTTGACTGTGGTGTATAAGATATGCAACAAAAAAGAACAGAAAATAAATTCCTGCCTAAGAATTTGGAAGAGCTTTTACTAATACATCTAGCAGAAACTAAAATTTCACAGGCTATTAACTTGTTGCAAATATTCACTCTCACTTTCACCACTTTTTGGGAGAGAGAGGGGACAGTTTTTGTAGAGTTAACAGCCAGATTCCATATCGACCTCAGATGCTGTGTACTTTTTAATTTTATTTTTTTATATTCTGGCATCTTGACTCTTTAAACAGAATGAATATGTCTGTGTGCTGAGCAAAATGTTTCAGCCAAGTCTGTTTTCTTTGCAGTGCAAACAGGATGTTTTCAGCAGACTTGGCTGTAACAGCCATCTCTAAGATTAGGGAACAATTGAGTCTTTATGTAAAAAAGGTCCCCTTCTCCCCTGTCCTCAGCATTCAGATTCAACATATGACACTTTGTAGGTTGTTTTGGAGGGTTTTTTTCTTTTGTTGTAATTATCTATAAGATCTTTAGCTAGGAGTAGAGACATATTTTTAACTGTTAAAAAATTATCAGACTTTTTCTTCTCCAGTATTTTTGCCAAGTTTTTGTCGACACTTCCTGTCTATGCATTAACTACACTTCTTGGTGTTATTGCAAAAAGGAATCTTACTGTTTTCCCTTCTATGAGTGTACAACAACCAGGCCGCATGCGATAGTGCAAATGAACATAGTCTAGCCTGTGTGTATACAGTGAATTGTCAATCTTTGACCTCAGCATCATTCAAAAAATAGGGTGCCCTTGCCCTTACCCTCTGCTGCACCCCATGTCCCACCCCCTCTGCTTTCTTATCTGCAAGTACAGGGTGTCCACACAGTCTAGAAACAGACAAATACACCTAATGTTGTCAAGGATATTCTCAACCTGTCAAAAACAAGATATATATAGTTTCACAGTTAGACCATACCCTGTAGTATGGTCGGTAGGTTCATGGCCAGTGCCAAAGGTGTGTGTATTTTCAGAGGTGGTTCCCACTTGTCAACGATAGTGTTTTCTTGACCTTAAAATTTGACAAAGGAGGTGCTGGCATCACATTCTTTAGATTTGAAATAATTATCAACTTCCAAATCTGTGAACATTGTAATAACTTAAAAATTGAACGTTGGCCCTCCCTACCCCATACAGAATGCCTCCTCCTACCCACACCGCCAAAGCAAAGAGGCCACGAGCACCTACAGGATGGTGAAGGGAACACTGATCAGGAAAGAGCTACTCCCCACCGGCTGGGCATCCATGCTGTCCTGCGGGTGGTCACTCTGACTAGATCTGGAGTGATTACCCAGTGTTCTAACATTTGAGTGATTTTTAAACTGTCAATCTCTTGTAGTAACCTGCTACCACCACCAAAAATAGCAAAAGTGACCGAAACTGCCAGTGTTTGCCTCACAGAATTTCCATCGTTCCCTTTTCAGTTAGCTATACACCTGAATTTGTTTTTAACAAGAAATTGCACACCAGGAGAAATGGTACTACCCTGGTCAGGGGGCCTCTGCAAGACTCAGTCTTGGGTCTTCATTCTGCCAACACTTGTTTTGATCATGGGAGGGGAAAGGTCAGATAAAGGCAAGAAATGTTCTGTTTTAAATTTTAAAAAAAGTGTTTCCCTAGTAAATCATTGCTTTGGAAATAAAATCCCAGTTGACCCATTTTGAGGCAATATTAAGAAGTTGGGACTGTGTTTTTAAAAAGTAAAATTCCTTTTTACAACTAATAGTGAGCAGCAAAAGACGATCGGTGAGGGTAGCTAGCAATACTGTGGTGGCGTTGTGAAGGGCGCTCCTTTCCCTCCTCCTCGCCTGCCCTCTTGGACCGCATGCGGAGGTGGCAGTCCTCCTGGGGCTGCTGAAAGGCGTGCACGCTCCTCAGAGGGTGGGCTTGGAAGAGGCGGCCAGAGTGAGGTGGAGCAGCCTTCCTGCAGGACCAGCCTGACAGCAGAGCTTTACGGAGAGCAAGATGGGTGTCCTACATGTGTTCGCCAAAAATGAAAAGGGGAGGTACTTATACGAGACCAAGGAAAAAAAACCTTTGGAACCATTAGGTTACATACCTTTTAAAGGTAGTATAGTTTCTCACTAAGTGATGCCTTCAGCATACACTTAATTTCGGGGTAAGTTAGAATAAATGTGTTTAAAACACCACCTCTACCCCCCCCCCTTTTTTTTAAATTTTGTCCAAGGAATTAATGACTTATGTGTAGTATTTCTGAATGTGCCTTTGTGAGTCCAGCGACCATTAGGATAAAACGGAAACGTGGTCAGCCTAGTCTGTAGGGAAGTCAGCGTTTCTCCTGGCAGTCTCCGGGGCAGCTGTTTGAGTGTTCATTAGCATCCGTGTTGCACAGTGTGGGGTGTGGGAGAGGCTCTGGGACCTGGGAGAGGGGCAGTGAGGTGATGGTGCACAGGCGACAGAGACCTCGGTTAGTCCAGGAGTGCAGGTTGAATTTATTATCTGCATTACCTAGTTTTCTTCGTGTATGTGTGTGTGTGTGTGTGTGCACGTCTGGTTGTTTTACTTTTTGTTTTTCTGTAAGCACTGGAGAGCTGAAATATGGTGATGTTTGTGACACATTCATGCATGTCAAGACGGCGTTTTCCCAGCGTCTGTGTGCAGAGCGGGCAGCGCAGTCCCACCCTCTGAGTCTGTGTCCTGAGAAGGCGATTCTTTTCCCAAATGGAAGTCACTTCATGTTGCTGTTTCTGCGAACAGGGTATTACACACAAGGAAAAGGCTTTGGAAAGAGTAAGATTGAAGTGTTTGAGAAAGAAAAGAGAAAAATCTGAAATCATATTTTATTTCTTCAGAACTATTTTAGCTAAAACATAGAAACCTGCAGCGTGTCTTCATTTGTTTTTATTTGTTTTAAACGATTCCACCTCTTCTCCCTACTCCCGACCTTCTAAAGAAATATCAAGTGCAAACTAAGGGCCATTTCCATAGTTCCTCAGAGCTCCCCAAAGAGGAAACCAGTCCCTCCCGCAGGATTCCTTCCGCTTCCTTCAGCTTCATTCAGGAAGACAAAGGGAGGAGAGATGCTGCCGCTCTCTGTGCTTCACTCTCATTCCTCTCTAATGGCCTTGAAATGTATTATTATGCAAATGTGAATTTTGATACTGAATTTAAGAAGAGGTTGTTGGGTTTTTTTCTTTTTTCAAAAAAAAAAGGTCCCGTACGTGGTCATCATTGCTTCTTTATTTTGTAACGTGAATTGTAACTATGCATTCTGCAAAAGGGGGGAGGAGAGGGCAGAAAGGGGAAGGAAGTAGCTTTGCATCTTATTCTATGGTTTCTGTGTCCATGGTATCCCACGTCCTGGCGGGGAAGGGCAGTGAGAGCAAGAAGCGGTAAAGGTCTGCACAGCGAAGTGCAGAGACCTCTGGGTCCTCCTGTGGGCGCTGGCAGGCCTGGCGGCCAGCAAAACCAGTATGGTACAGGATTCTCCGTCCTAGCCGTGCAGTGTTAACCCAGGGCCACCGTGGGGTCCCGGAGGCTCCGGTGTTCTCTGGAAAAAAGTACTCATCCTTCTCTGAATTCAGAACCCTTTCAAGCTCAGGAAACCATGTCTCACTCGTGCTGACTTTAAAGTTCATCTTATGTCAACTTCAAAAACCTCCTCCTCCTCCTCTCTCCTTTTTAATTTTTTGTTCTTCCTTCTTAATCATGTTTAAGTGAACTTAGTTATAAGGAAACTGTCTTGCTCTAAGGGAACGAGGATTGTTGCTTGGCAGGCAAAAAGGATTCTCTGCCCCATCCACTACCCCTCAGCCAAACGTGATCTCTCGGCTTCCCTGGCGTGCATTAAGCTGCGCATAGCTAGCGAGCAGCGAGGTGTTTGCCACGGGAAAGCCAGCAGCCTTCTCTGTCCTAACAGAATTCTTTTGTGGATCTTGCCTGTGGTGAATCGTGGCACCTGCATTGCTCTGGTCTAGGCATTATTTGCAACACACAGTGTCGTACACAGGAGATGGTTTCGCCCGTGTTCAGTGTTCCACGCAGCAGCTCTTGTCCACAGTACTGTAACGAGCCACAGACTTGACCACAGTCTCCAGGTGCCCAGGCGAGGCTGCACGGGCACGATCTTATCAGGGTTCCAATCTGTTAAGATTGCCTTCAGACAAACACACAAAAACAAAACCAACAAAAAAATTAAAATCCTGACGTTTCAACTGTCTAACACAAAATAATACCTCGAGGTACATTTCCCCTGCAGTATAGGCCTTGACTCCCCTCTCCTTTTCTGACAGCAGTGGGTCATCCTTTTGAAAATATGAACATGTAAATAGCAGGATAACTTTTATAATTTTTTTTGCTGTGAAAGTACCCCTAAAATATGATACTTTTCTTTTTTAAGTCATCAGAAGTTTTGGATCTTATTCTTCATATTTAAGAAGAGAAAGCAGAACCGGTCAGGGTGTGGACTTGCATTTGTGGGCTGGTGTTCCCTCCATCGCCCCCCATTCAGTGACGGCAGGCCAGTGTCTGAAGCCTGTTTTGAGTAGATGCCATCTATTCCAGCCTTCTCTCTCCAGGTGCGGAGAGTCTGAACTTCTCTCTTCTGGAAGCAGAATGTGTTCCGTGGGAGACCTTGAGCTCTCGACCTTTTTTGATTCACACACACACACACACACACACACACACACACACACACAGTAACCGAGTAGCATTCTGTAGTTCAGGAAGGGAATTAGTCCCCGGCATTTCGGTTTGGCGCTGTAGAATTTATAGCCTTGTCATCTTGGGATACGCCGGACATGTTTTGATTTGTTACTTACACAGAAGCTCATCTGAGATGTGCAGACAGCCACCCTGCCCTGAAAGGCTTGTGCACCCTCAGACACTGCCCCCTCCATGAGGCTTGGCTGGCGTTAGGTAGAGGGACATAAGTTTAACAAATGCTGCTTGTAGGGTCCGTCAGCTACTGTGCTCTTAGATTTGGCCACTTCCGAGGTAGGGTCGGAACCGCTTCTTCACAAACACCCCCTTACCTCCATCTTAGAGACAAACCCTGTATCTGTCAAGAAGCCCTTTTTAGTTTTAACGTGTATAGTGACGACTTCCTTTGAGGGGAAGAAGCTTGATTATAAATGCATGTATGTTCACCACTCGCCTTCTGATTTTGGCTATGTTGACCTTAGGATCTGATTTCTGTTTGTTTGGAGACCTCTTTTCCATCAGTCTCCTTCCTCTGACCCCTCGAGAGTTCTTCCTGCCCTTATCCCTCTACAATCCTCCCAAAGGGCTTTGCTGATCTCTGCACTTCTTCCCTGGGGCACTCACTCCCCCACCACCACCTTTGCACACACACCCGTGACCAAAGTGTGTCCAGTGATCTCACAGAAGACATCAAAAATGGTGCCTGCACCACGAATGTGCTCACAGAGACACGTGCACAAGGATCCTGCACCCTTGGCCTTAACCTCAGTATGACTTAAGGTGCAGGAACGTTTTTAACAGGTTTTAAAATAAAATACCCATCTGGGAGGTGGGGGGAGGTGGGGGAGGCAGACACACGAGCTCAGCTGTGCCTACTCCTGACTCTCACTATTTGCTTACAACTTCAAATTCTGTGCCCACCCTACTCCCATCCTTGTTCTGAGTTACCAAAAACAGACAAAAGCAACCTGAGGAGAGATTTCTGGACTATTTTGTCTTTCTCCATGTAGATGGAGATATAAATGCTGCTTTGGGTTCCATAATCTTAGGGGGCTATGTTTACAGAGTAAAATACATCCTACCAAATCAGGAAACTGAATATTGGAACCTCTGCAGTGAGAGTTAGGTCCCTGATGGTGAACAAGAGAATCGAGGGGCTGGGGGGTGCAGAGGAGGACAGACGGAGAAGTCCCATTTCAATGACTTGTGACATAGTGCTCCCTTCCTCCGTTCTCCTCCCTTCACTGCTCTCCTTGCCCCTTTGAACAGAAGGTGCAGAGAAGGGCATCAGAAAGAGGCTAGACTTTTAAAAGGCAGCTTTCCGACTTTGCACACAAACAGGTAACAGGAAGGTACAGTAAAAATCCTCTCATCTGAAACTGTCGGCAGAAACAACCTGTAACATGACTGAATAGCTGCACAACATTGATGCTCTCTCTGCAGGTTACCTAGAAGTGTTTTGTTTTTCTTATACTTGAAATAGCTTTTACAATGTTATTTTGGTGGCTTTCTTTCCTCTCTTCCAGTGGGCAATGGAGAAAGTGGATGATGGGATTTAAGGAAGTTTGAGGGGAGAAAAGGAAGGATATGGCATTCTTTTTTTTTTTTCTTCTCCTTAAACATAGAGGTTTAATCAAACTCCCATATGTTGAAATTGCTCCTCATATTACTGGTTTTACATGGACACAGAAACTAGGCACTTTAGAGGTGCACTTGCATGGCAGGCTGGGCCCCCCCCCTTTTCTACATTTTATTTTACTTTTTTAGTATAGTGGTACTTAAAATCACTGGTTCACTTAAAAAACAAACAATAAAATGTTAAACTCTACTAATGTACAAATAAGCTGAAAAGTTGCATTTTATGTGTATTTTTTGCCATAGCAGGTACTGTATTTCTCATGCTGGATTTCAAAAACAAAAAAAAAAAAAATCAAAAACAAAAAAACTAAAGGGTGGTGTTTTATTGGATTGTGACAGGTTGAATAATAAGGAATTAAGTCTTCGTCATTTCATTAAAGCTGAGAGATGATGTAATGCATATATAAGAGTTTTCTGAAGGGTTTTTTTGGGCTTTTAAACAGCTTATTTTTGTTTTTGTTTAGTATTTTATTTTATTTTGGAAAGATATGATTGTATTATGTGCAACTCAGTTGCTTACATTATAACTACAAAATATTTTTGGGTTCCTGGAAAAAAAAAAGAAAAAAGACTAATAAATGTGTTTGGCTGCTAAGCATTTATTGAGGTTTCCTGTTTTATTCTGCCAATTTAATTTGCTCGTTTGTTGAATATTTGTATTTTGCTACTCCTCGCTCACACCTGAAAGCTATCCAAACTTCAGCATCTGAATTCGGCCTCAACTTTGTCTGTCTTGCCTTGGTATGTTTTTGTTGTTGGGGTTGGCCGGTTGGTGGTGGGTTTCTGCTTCTTGCTCTTGCTGCCGGCCACAGTGCAGAGTTCAAATTCTCTAACAGAAATTAATGTTGTCCTGCCTTTTGTTGTTGTTCCCTTTAATCCTTATTTGCATTTGGAGTGAGAGCACTAGAGTAGAGGAGAGAGAAGACTCCTGCCCAGGGCTGGCTGCATCCCCCCCTGCTGCTCCCAGGGAAGAGAACCAACCAGCTTTCCAGGAAACACTCCCACTGCTCCCTGCCCATAAAGGCGAGGTTTTCTTATTTACCATTAGCTGCTAAAGTAGAGACTTGTTGAGACATGGGATTATGAAACACCTCTAGAATGGCCAAGGGGAGGACGGTAGGGAAGCTAATACTAACTCCCAGGTACTGTGTTTGACTTAATTCTCAGAATGCTGTGTGAATGGACAGCAAACCACATTTCATGAGGAAACTGTGGCTCAGAATAATTTAATTAGCTGATCACAGGTAGCATTGGTTGATTGCTTACCATCATCTGGGCACTGCTCTCAGCACACTGTGTCTATTCATTTAATTGAAACTTATCACAGTCACTGCTGAACCCATACTAGGAACCCAGATAGGATTCAAAAGTTACCAAAATGCCTGTGCTGCAAAGCTCCTGGGCTTCTGAGGAAATGGTCTTAAAACAAGCCTGTTGTACACAGTGGTAGGCCAGATACCACCCAGTTCTTTTATTATAAAATAAGTAAACACCTGGAAATCCGAAGTGAGAAGAGGTGAGCGCTTCAAAAACATCTTGAAGGCCGGTCTGTTACAAGTAAGTGCTTTTTTTTTTTTTAAGAAAAGGATCGCCGCAAGCACTACGAAGAACCTTATCAACAAAGACTTTGGATATTTTAAAAATGCATCAGTGGCCCGGCCGGCGTGGCTCAGTGGTTGAGCATCGACCTGTGGACTCATGGGTCCTGGGCTCGATCACCAGTAGGGGGTGTGCAGGAGGCAGCCGATCCATGATTCTCTCTCATGGATGTTTCTGTTTCTCTCTCTCTCCCTCCCTCTCCCATCCTCTCTCTTTAAACAAATCAGTAAAAACAAACCAAAAAAAATGCATCGACCGCCCCCTCCCGCGGGAGGAGGGTCGCTGGCCGCCGGCATGGGCTGTAGTTTGACTCGCCCGCACAGTCCCGGGCCTTTGGCCCCGGTCACGCCCTCCCTCCCCGGGGCGCTGCTGTTCCGCCCCGGGAGCCATGGTTCCTCCCCCGAGGCCGGCAGCCCCTCCTCCAGCTCCAGGCAGCGGGTCT